ACCCATGATGGCGGATCTCCCTGTCAGAGAAAACCCTCGCACTACCAAAGTTCCCGCAGCCAAGGTCCCCAATGCTGAAGCGACCGTGAAAGTCCTCCAGATACCACTCGATGGCTCCATCATGAAACTGATATCCGTCCCTCTTCTCGTTATCAGCCCTGAGATTGTCGAGAGCAAGCATTCTGACGGGCTGGAATCCTATCTTCGGCACGTCCCCAAACTCTGCAACAATGGCGCCATGTCCTTCGAATGGCACAACCGCTCGCTGGATACTATGTCTGCCACCCAGCTGGGTCCCAATTGGAAGGAGGACTATTTCATGTACAAGTGCAATGATTCGAAGGCGGGCCTCAAGGCCAACGCATTCTTCGCTCCCGTTCATGGGGCGCGCGTATATGGAGATGCGTTCGTGTTCAGGATGGAACCGGACACTTATGATGGGTTTACTGGAAGAGCAGAATATGTGGACATGGACTACGGTTTTGCCAAGCAACCTGGAGCCATAAAACTACTTGATAATTTGGCTGTGTTGTAGCTTGGAAGAGTAACGGTGGAGGAAGACAAGAGTGAGGCTAATTGTGACGCTGGTGCGAGCGCTGTCGGACTGGGCAGCCACAGACAGACCGAAAACATCTACACAGTATCATCAATTCTTCTTGTAGCCATCTACTTCTCACACTGACCGCATTCGTCTTCTGATTTCAAGATACATTTGTGTTGTGGGGCTGAGTCAGCATGGAATTAGAGCACAGAGTCACATAAATAATAGAAGGCTGTAACTCTGTCAAATCTTGCTCGTTCTGCTGGCCACTGTTCATGTTTAAAAATCCAACTCAAGACACGACACAAGCGTCTCAAACTTGCGCTGCGCTCTTATCTGAAACTTGTTGAGCGTGAGAAAGCTTCTGCCTTGCGTGACTGACCTAGCGTTGTTTGGAGGAACATAGACGAGACGAGGGGTCAGATCAACCTTAAGTAATGTGATTACCCTTGATGATTCGCTACCCATGACTTTTTCCGCCCAACTCTCCGACATTCAGGTGGGATGGTGTAGCATGAATTTTCCGTAACAATAGCCGGTCGGCCTGGCTATGCTGTAAGCCTTGCTCTTGAGTTGCTACCAGTGTTACCTTTCGTCTCGAACCTCTGACATGTGTCGCCATGCATGTTTCGGGCGTCTGAGAATCCAGGTCCAATCGTTGAGTCCCAAATGGCTTTTTTGGAACCCGTCTGAGGCGACTGTACTCAAACAACCAGGTGAGTACTATGAGTAGCCTCCTTCTCCCACCCTTTTCTTTGTTACGATAACTTCCCATCTTCCAAACTTCTTCATACCTCTAAACTTTTCCCATACCTTGGTCTTTCTACAACAATACTCTTCATTGATCCACACAAGTGGTCCTCCCTCCTCAACGGAATCAGAATGCCAACCAGAACAAGAGATGTAAGTATCCTTTGACAGTACTCACAATCAAAGCATCACATATTGACATGAGCAGGAATGGACGGAACTTCCTTCAAAGTCCCGCTTCATCTCGAAATCCACCGAAGGTTTCTCCGTCCAGCAGTGGGTCGCGAAAGAAGTCCAAGTCCTTCGCATTCCAGTCGACGGTTCTCCCCACGTCATAAAGCTCAAAACCACCGAGATCACAACAAGCAAGGACCGTGATGAAGAGACCAAAGGGGACGAGGAGTGGCTCATGCACGTTCCTGACATACAAGGCTGCACGGACGCCGTGTTTGACTGGGACTCTCGCTCACTTGTCGCCTCGAAGTTGGGTGGTAATCTTGTTTCGGAAGAACACGAAGGGTGGTGGTTCATGTACAAGTGCAACGAGCCGTGGGCTGGGTCCCTCTCGAAAAAGAACTTCGCTTTTGAAGGACATAGGAAGACGCGGGCTTTTGGGGACATTTTCATCTTCAGGCTGGATGAGGAGGTGATGTGCGATCAGTTGGGGTACGCGAGTTATGGCGAACTTGCGTCAGTTCCGGAGGGTAAACATGCCCGTTTCATGTTCGCGCCAATGGCTGCGAAGTAATGGGAGATAGGGGTACGGGTAGGAGGGGCCTAGTAGGGTTGTGATACTGAGGCGAATGTTGTTAGAATGGGCGAGCGGGAGTAACTTGAAGACAGCTGAAACAAGACAATCAACTCGAGTTGTGATCATCTCTATATCTTATTGACTGTACCTGTAATGAGGACTGTGAGAGGTGGCAAAATACATTGAGCTACATTAGGCTCCACGACAACAAGGCAGTCTCAAGTCGAATTTCCGGAAGGCGTTGAGATAAAAAATTTAAGGAACCCTGTTCCTCTTCGTCATGTTACTCGTCAATGTCATCTCAAGTCCTGGCAAGGCAGGCTTCCCTTTGCTTGGCATGCCCCTTAAAAGGAAACTCATTTCAGGACATGAGACAAGGATATGTCCGCCCAGAGACATGATACATGTATCTTCAAGGTTTCGAGCATCAGGAAAACAATGCCCAATCATCCCAGGAGTCAAAACGCTTGCTCAAACTAGCTTAAAACCGATGGTCCTCAAGGCGGCGATTTCGATAGGGCTTGTCCCCAATTGTATATTTGTTTAATTCGTCTTTGGGAAAGGAGTTGTGACTTAACTTTTTCAATAGCAGTATCACCTTCACATCTTACGAACGTGTTCCCCATCCCTTTTCCAAGGAGCATAATCTCAGCGAGGAGGTGATGTTAATTTTAGCCGATGAAGGGCATAAGACTTATCTGTGGTAAGCTACAGGAAAGGAACAAGAGGAATATGCTGGAAGGATGTGGAAGGGACGCTGTTAGGAACTAGAACTAAAAAAAAAAAGGAAAAGAGAAGCATGCTGGTCTATATGGTAGTCATTCAAAGATGCCGCGTCTATTCATGAGAAGCCACACCACCACGACGCGCACCAGCACCAGACCTGAGCCGGAGTATACGACTGTCTTGACCGAGCCACCGAAGAAGCCTGCCACCAAAGGTCAGGCGACGAAGAAGCATACCACCACCAAAAATCAGTTTGTGAGGAAGCCTTTCGCTAGCAAAACCCAGCCTGGGACTGAGCAACTCACTGCGGCAAGCCGTCCAACGAGAAAGCCTTCTGATGTCAAGAGCCCGTCCCCGAAGAACCATACCACTAGCAAAAGCCAGCCCACCGAAAAGGCTGCTTCAGGAAAAGACAAGCGCCAAAATAAGGACACCACTCGCGAAAGCCAGCCAAACGAAAAGGCTGCTACTGCAAAGGACAAGCGCCCAAAGAACGACAACACTGGCGAAGAGCAGCCAGCAACGAAGCATCCTCCTGCTAAGACCCAGTCAACGACCAAGCAACGCCCTGATCAAAGCCAGCCACCGATGAAACATTTCCCAGCCATGAACCAGTCAGCAACTCAGCACCCCACAATCAACAAGCAGCCGACAGAATCCTCTCAAACCAGTCTCAAGATCGTTCGCATTCCACGGGATGGCTCTCCCATGAGAATAATGGAGGTCGCTCTGAGCGATAGACCCCCTTTGATTTTCACCGACGCCCGCACCGAAGAGCTCGAAGCAGATCTTGTGCACCTTCCCAAACTCTGGGACTGCGTAAGCAGACACTCTTTCCGTTGGGGATTTCGCACCCTCCTCGCCCTTCTCACCCACACGGATCTGAGGACAATAACCCAAAGCATGCACGATAGGATGGTCACCCCGGACAATTTCTTGTACACATGCCTCGAGGCAGGGTCAGGTCTCCGTCTGAACGGGTATTTGTCTCATCTTTGTGGTGTGAGGGTATATGGAGACGCCTTCATTTTCAGGTGGGATCCGCAGCAATACGGGCCAGATGGGCGAGCGACACTGATAGACACGGAAGACATTTTTATCGAAAGCGGGAACAATGGGATATATGTGCCGAAGTTACTGTGTAACTTCTTCAAACCGGGTGAGGGTAATGGCATCAAGTTGTAATCGGTGGTGGGAGGGAGATTGGGTGGGGGGGGAGGCCGGGGGGGAGGAGTTTTGACTGGCCTAGATAAATTGTGATTGAGGAGCACTGGTACGCTGGACGACCAGATATGGTCCGGGCGCATTTAGAAAAGAAATTTGTTGCCTGTGTCGTGGCTACCTGCATGTTCTACCGACCGCGCTTGTCTCCTGAATCTAGCGCACGTCTACACTACGGGTCCAAATCAGCATGGTATCAGAACCCATGACTGACTCATTGAATACGTACAAAGATGCTCGCCTCCAAACTTGAAACAAGTGTCGCAAAGTCATTCCGAGCATCGGAGGCGTCAAGTCCAGGCATCCTCGAGTCAGAGAGCGACCGTGTTCGGTAATCTGTTTCAGGCCAGGGCGACGACTTTGAAGGTGACATGTTTCAAAGCGATAACACGGATACTAAAAAGGGCGTGGTAAACTAGGGTGGTAAACTACAAAAGGCCTCCTGTCTCCCCCAAACCTTCTCTCTCTCTTTCCTCCTTACCTTTCCCAAATTCTTCAAAGGCTCAATTCCTCTGCCACAGAATTCCCAGTCTCTCCACCTTCAACTTACACCATCTTACGAGCAAAGATCTGCTCGTCTCCTTGCCGCAACCAGCATCAGTCAGTTACCTGCAACCTCCTTCATCGTCAGCCTTCCCTTGTCGGACAGCGTACATGATCATTCATGCTGACCTCCTGCAGTCAGTCAAGTATGGAGGCTTCTACTAACCAGGAGGTTGGTGGAGTACCTTCGGTGCCGTGAGCATTCCCTGTCGGACAGCGTACACAATCTGGCATGCTGATTTACTACAGTCAATCAAGCATGGCGACCACTATCGATCTCAAGGTTGTTCACATATCCTATGCGCCCGGAATTGATCCCCTTAGTCTGATGAAAATGCCACTCGCCAACATCGGCAGTGGAGATATCAGCGAGGACGAGTGCAACGGTTTCGAGAAACAGCTTGAGCACATTCCCAACCTGAAGTCACACAGTGACCCGAAAACCTTCAGCTGGGCCCATCGCTCCCTCTTTGAGATCGGAAATGAGAAAGTGGCTTACGGTATCGGGAAAGAGCCGATGATCTACATGGTGTATATGTGCCGGGATGCGAATGCGGGACTTCCACATAACCAGTACCTAGAAGACATGGTCCGGGATGTCTACGACCATCCACGCGCGACTCTGATGCCCCCGATCAAGGTATATGGAGACGCTTACGTTTTCATGAGGAAGCCGTATTCGAAGGAACCGGATGAGTCTCAGCGGGCGACATATGTTGACATGGATAAGGGTTTTGTTGTGGACGCGACGCATGGCGTCCGTGCGCAGGTTATGTTGCGAAACCTCTTGATGTATTCGCCGGAGAGAACGTAAATCGCGACCGGTCACGAAGGAAGATGCATGCATGTATTTACCAATTCTTGCGAAGGTGCTAGTGTAATTGACTGTCAGGATGTTTCCTGAAAATAGCCCCTGTTTCACTCTCGCAACTCCGCATCCTTCTAAGATAAAGTACGAAGTTCGGCTGGTAAGGTAGTCAAGAAAGGTAAGGTAGCGAGTTACGCCGGTAGTCTTTGCTTAGGCCAGCCTTATGGTATCTGTGTGTGAAACACACTCCGCCTTGGGTTCTGATACATGTCTCATTCCATGTGTCACTGCGTCTGGAGATTTCAAATCAAACCATTCAAGGTGGACCAGAGCCTGTCCAGTGTTTTCAAGGCGACCATGTACGAATACAAGAAACCCTCTTCTAGTCATGTTTTTCTTCTTCATACCTACTCAAGCCCCATTTCCTTCCACCATCTCGTATCATAGTCACATTCCACACACTCCTTTTCCCTCTTGAACGCAATCGAAATGAGTCAGGCATCGGCACTGGTAAGCATCCACCGATCGAACAACAAGTCGGAAAATGATACTCAAAAAGCCAGACCAAAAGAACGCCAGCAAAGAAGCCCCAGGTCGCTCGCGTACCAACGAACGATTCCTCCCGTCCCACTGCCAGCAAGTCTAAGACGTCGCCTCCCAAGAACGTTCAGATCGTTCCCGTGCCAATCGAAAACACCTCTCCCCCCACCGCCAATCAAATCAAAACTGTGTCCTGGCCCCAAAGTCGAAGTTGTCCACGTACCGGCCAAGCGCAAATACCCCCCTCACATGATCTCCGTCCCTACTCTCGAAGTCGACCCCGAAACCGCTCCCACTAAGAGAAGCTCAAGCGTGTTCCCGACATTCAGTCTTACCGGGATACATTCGGTTGGCATCCTCGCTCCCTTGTCGAGGCGAATATAAACGTCAATGTTATCTCGGACGGGTGGGAAGGAACGTACCTTGCGTACATATGCAACGGTTCCGAGGTGGGGCCTCCGGGCGAATGACCACTTCGGACCTGTTGCCGGTGTACGCCCGTGCGGAGATTTTTTTGTCTTTAGGCTCAAGAAGGTGGGGTACGCCAAGTTGGGGAGGGCAAAGTATGGCAGGATGGAGCATGATTTCGCGAAAAACTACCTTCATTTGCGTGGCCAGTGCAAGACTGTGCGCGTTGGCGGCGTGCGAGTGATGGGTGTGAACGGGGACATGTACAGGCTAGGAGTCGTCGAGGTGCTGATGCGAACGGCGCTGGATATGGCGAACAGAACTAATTTGTTTAAATAGTTCTCGAATGGGAAGATTACTTTTGGTGTGTACGCTAGTATCCGTTATTGGTTTCCACTATGTGCTACTAAAGAATCCTAGGAGAGGCAGAAAAGGGACAATGGGCCAAGTGCACAAGGCGGCAACCGATAACATGCGTAGAAGGCCCATGAAACGGGTAGTTACAGCGACGATCCTTTCCCCCAACAAGATGTCGCCCAGTCGAAATGTGTCCTTCTAGGCTCCCAGGCCGAGACAGTATCGGACCAGTGGAGAGGAGTAGACACGCCGGCATTGTTCCTTTTCCTGTTCATTATTGGCTCCGTACTGAAACATCTCACCGCCATCTCGGGGCACGCGTCGCAGGATAGAGGGCATCGAAGGCCGATCATCTGAGATCGAGAAAGAGCTTTCGAAACGTCTTTGAAGGCGAGTGTAAACAATGCGACCGTGTGAATGGTATAAAAAGGCCTCTTTTCCCTCCCTTTCTTTCGTCTTCACACCGCCCAAAACTCTCCTTCCTTCCAACCTTCTTTGGCTTTCTGACCTTCTTTAACCTTCCGACCTTCTTTCGCCTTCCGACCTTCCAATCCTCCAACCTTCCAACCCTCCAACCTCATAACCTTCCAGCCTCCTTCAACCTTCCAACCTTCTTTCAGCCTTGCAACCTCTTCAGTGTCTCAACCGAGAGCTCGACACCCTTTGCCACAGGCGTTCAAGTCTTTCATACACCGTTTCGCACATCTTTGGCTAGTCAGCAGACGCAAACTTAGATCACTTCCCACAACCTCGCTTCTATGTTGTGTGCTCCAAGATGACTGATGTCCAGTCATCAACAACGAAGGAGCCGAAGCCAGTCAAGGTCATCTGCAGACCATGTAACGGAGCTGCACTGGAGATCCAAACCATCTCCTTTGTTGACCACTGCCGAAGTCAACCGGGAGGTTTGAGTGGTTCAACGAAAGGTAGCTGGCGTCCTCGAAGATACCTCATCCACGTTCCCGATCTGAAGGACGACCCATGCGCAGATAATCACAGCTATGGTTGGTATAATCGCTCGTTCGTTGACCTCGGTATCATGGATCCGGATCCAACGCCCGGAGATCGTTCGACCTTGTTTCACGTGCAAATTGTGACGAATGAGCATTCGAAGGGAGTCCCGCGCGTACTGCATGTCTACGGGACTGCTTTTACATTCAAGGTGAAGGGGAAAAATGATCGTGGCATGTTGGAATGTGGCGATGTGGACGAAGCTATCATCAAGGATGCGGTCAAGGGGAAAGGGATAAAAGGGTCATGAGGAGGAGATATCTCGCTATACGTAGGCAAGACTGACAACAAGACAGGCAAAACAGGGTCGCTGCATAGGGTCATAGAATCTGGGGATGCAGCAGGCAGTTGGGAGCCAGGGCTCGTGAGAGCCGGACCAAGCAGAGAGGTACTAGGAAATGACCTTCAGAAAACTGTATTCGAAGTCGTAAGTCGTGACCAAAAATTGGATCGTTGAGTGCAAAGGTCCCCCTGTCCCCCTCCAAGATCCTCCAATGTGCTTCAGGACAGCAACGCAGGACATTGCTAGCATAGCAGGTCACAGCTGGCGAAACTGTTGGTAGTTCGTGGTGGGCGACGATGAGGCTTGCTGGACAGGAGTGAAAAAGGCTCCATCCTTCTGCTTGATCCCAGCGACCACACGACCTTCGTATCCTGCAACCATTTTGAGGCGACCGGTGCCGTGATTTCCGCCCGAAGACTGTTCCTTTCTGCTTGCGCTCGGTTTTCAGCCTTGCCTTAGTTCCATCCATTGCTTCCTTGTTTAGCCTTTCTGCTTCATTCTTTGCTTCCTGTTCATGTTCCTTGCGGTGTTAGCACAGATTTTTGCCTTTTCTTCGTCTTGATCTGCTGCTCTTGCTCATTTCCAAAAAGGTCCTTGACGTGAAGCACAAATTTGTCATCGAGATTGGGCTCCAGATCTCTGGGCAGCGGCATCGATGGGCCGTTCGTCGGTGAGTGTTTGAATAAGTACCAAAGGGAGTGAGGAGATAGGGTGTGGCACCGTTTTTGGCCAGATTGGTTTGATCCGGATTACTCATCACCATCATGTTGCTGTTCTTGCTTCCCGACACCGTCGCTGAGCAAATCTCCTCCTCCGTTATTCTCTCCGAAGAAATCTTCTTCTCCTGGCTCTTGCTTGATTCCCTGCTGCTTATCATGTGCTGCTGCCTCTTGCTTTTGCTTGCCAGGCGTTGTAGAAGCTTGCTTCGCAGTAGCAGGTTCCAGCAGCTCTAGCACATGTACTCCGATGGTCTTGATGATTGATTGGTTCTAGAAGCTTGGTCTGCCATAGTTGCAATTGATACACCATAGGAGCATAGCTCACGTCTGGTCAATTCAGCAGCCTCATTTGTGCTGGCGACAATGTGGCGAACGATCTTGTTGTGCTCCTCTGCTGCGATGTGGGTCCCTGGAATCATTGAGAGAAGTCTGCTTATGATTTCGCGGTCCCTGATCCTGTGTTTTAATCCCTGGTGCGATGCTCGGGTTTTTGATATCTTCAAGCATGCGGTTTGCATTCGTGATGATGAAGTTGAGGTATATCTTGAAAGTGTCTTTTCCGATGTGCTTGGCGCTTGTTGTACGAAAGTGCCGACATCCTGGTGAGCATAGTAGGGAAGATGGCACTGTGAAATTCGAGAGACTTCATGCTGCTGAGCATGGTCCCGTCGACCTCATCTGAGCAGACCTGTTGCAGCTGGTGCACTCGCTGCTTCACCTGCTCCCAGAAGTCCTCGTCCTCTCGGATGCTTGAGCTGCGGTTCGCTCATAGGTGAGGGTAATCGTTGTTCCGTTGCGAAGGGTTAGCACTGCTGGCAAGTGAACTTGATCATCTGACGATTTGAGCCCCGGCAGGTGCTTGGGTAGGACTTTTGGTCTGTTGGCCTCTGATAGCACGTCGGTCATCTTGGATCCCTTGCTAGCAGACTTTAACGAAGGATTTTCAGATAGCATGCGAGGAGATCCGGAGTCGGAAGCACCGGGTTTGTTGAGATCAAGTCGTCTTCGCTTTTTGCTGAGGCCTGCTTTCGGTTTCGAAGCACGAGATGATCCGACACTCATTGTATCACTGTCTTCGGCACGTCTTTTGTTCGGGCGGGTGCTAAGAGGGGCCAGACCTTCACCAGCCTCTCTTCCTGACTGGAGCTCCTTGTGCTTTTGGGCCCCTAGGACCCCTGCTCCGGCTTTGGTTATCTTTCGCTCTCCTTCGTCCTTTGGACTCGTCATGGTTGTACGTCAGGGGAGGTCAGGGTCACGGCGGAGTACGAGCGCGCGGAGGCTCGTCGGCCGACTCCTCAGGGTACTCCCAGCGCTCCCGGTCCATGGAGTCGTGGTCAGGAGGGAAGGTGGAAGGACCGGCGGCATTGCTGTCAGTCTGCATTGGGTCTCCCTCGTCGTCTGAGTCCATGCTGAAACGGTTGGCTTGGGAGCCGGGAATCCGGGCGCCTTGCTTGGGTGCGGTGTCGTATTCGTCGGGCACCTCTTCGACGCTTACAACATAGCAAGTAGGGGCCACTGCAGGCAGCCGTCAGCATGCTCGCATCGAAAGAGGGAAAGGGAGTATGTGGAGAGAATGTGCGAAGAATGTGTGGGTAGTTGTGGGTAAAAAGGATGGTTGAAAAGAACTGAAATGAAGAGGAAGTGAGGCTCTAGAGTGGAGTACGAGAACGGGTATACAAGTATTTCTTCGTGCGTCCCGAAGTAGATAGTATTTACATAGGACTTATGTAGGATGCCATTATACTAGTTAACATCCAAAGATATGCGCGGAAAATCGAGGTAAGGTCCTATACTTTTGAATGCCTGCTCTTCATCTCAGATCCTAAGATATTGCGTCATGATCTTGCTATTTGTGGTTTTGACGTGGAAGGGAGTTAGGTATAGCGTATTAGGTATCCCGTTTAATTGGATTCAAGTCTACTCATGGATTCCAGAAGTGAATTACTTGATGAAGCGAGGACACCAATAGATTTTTCCACTTAGTGGGATGTCGTTTGATCTATTGGTGTCATCGCTCTGTCAAGTGTTTCATTTCTGGAATCCACGAGGACATAAGTGAAAGCGCCTTGCGTTCTCTCTATGAGTACTCTGACTGGAAGCTGGGAACCGAGTAAACTCCCGAAGAACGGCTTTGTATGAAGACCCTTCTCTACCGCCTGAGACGATTCATCGTCTTTCTTTACCGAAGTCCCAGCCCTCACCTAGATCATCCTCACCCGAAACAAGCTCACTGAGCTCCCTTTCACCACCAGAGTCAAGCGGAGGTTCAGGCGGCCGAAAGACGACACGCGGTAACTGAGAGGATCCCTCACCTAGATCGCCCACACCGAAAAGGCTATCCCTTCGACCACCAGAGTCAAGCGGAGGTTCAGGCGGCCGAAAGGAGACGTGCGGCTGTTGAGAGGACGGTGCGGGCGCCGGGATAGCCTGGCTTCTACCGGCATGCATTCGGTTAAGGATGTCGATTTGCCAAAGGTTGATCGTGGTACATCCCGGTTCTCCGGTTCGGTGGCCCCCGCCACCTGTCCGACACCGATGCCGGACCTCCATCCGTACGGTAACCTTTTGGCGTGCCGCAGGTTGGGCATTCGTGGTGTCTGTTCCTTGCGGCGATGGCCCCTTCGTCCATGCCCAGCATGCGGTAGCAGTGTTGGCGCTCACTCCCACTGAATGTGGTGTCTTCCTGGATCGCGCGCCGGATCACGGCCTCGAGGCGGTTTGGCAAGGTCGGATAGTTGTGTCCGAGGAGCCATGGTATAGGTGCAATTCGTCTGACCGCCTTGTCTGTTTCGTTGGGGGAAGGGGTCGATGCCTAGCATCCTGTGAAGTCTGTCGGAACTATCTTTATCGAAGTCGCGTTTTTGGATGGCGTTGCGTGTCATGGTCGTGAAATGCGGCTCATGGTAGATGTGGGAGCATCATTGAGCCTACAAGACCTATCGCGACTAATGCTATGAATTCACAAATACCTTCTAACTGAGGTCTCTTAGCTGGCTCATTGTGCACGCTGTCTCTGGTCCCGATGTCGTAGGGTTTGAATTCACATCCGCAGGCCCCTATGATCGGAGGGCATTTCTGGTCCCTAGGGGGCTACTGGTGTCGGGGCTGGATGTAAAATTGGAGTCGACACGTGCTCGTGTTTTGGGCAATAGGGATCGAAACGACCCTCCTAAAGGTGGCTGCAGGCTGGGATTTGCAGTAGTAGTCATTTTGGTTTGGCAGCGTTGTCAGGGATAGGAACGTTGGTGGGAAAGGCAGAGAGAGGGTTTTTCTTATAGACTGCTTCATGTTTGCTGATTGCCTTGCTGAGACCTGCCGAGAACAAGAAGAGTCGGAAAATGTTTTCGAGGTTGCGTTTTTGATCCATAGTGTGTGTGGTGTGTGTGCTGGCAGGGAATTCTTAGCGCGAATCATCCCCGAGTAACATCTACAAGGGAATAGGGCATCGTGACAAAGCGCCAATGACATAGAAGTCGAAGCCCCAGCAAGATTTATTCAAAAACAGGTTTCTCGAATACCGGAGGATAAATCGCTGGGCATTTGAAGGAAAACCCCAGTAGCTCTACCATTGACATGTATGGATGAATCGTTGTCTGTTATACCTTCGCAGGAGTTTACGTTAGTATTGCCGAGGGACGAGCTGTGGGGAAAAAGGATCAAGAGAGGAGATATATGGCTAAACATAGGCAAGACTGACAACGAAAACAGCAACACAGGGTCGCTGCACGGGGTCATTAGATTTTTTTGCCACTAATGTCCAATACCATCAACTCTTTCTCCGTCCAAACTTCTATCATCTACACTGAAGCAATACTTCCACCTGCAGTATTGCCGCTGTCCGCACGATCGCTCGACCCTACACTTACAACCGAGGCATTTGAAGTCGTCGTGCTCCGAGCAGCTGGAGCTTTTCCTATACCAGCCGAGCTGTGGCTGTCCCGGACGAGGTGCCGGTAGTCGGTCGGACGCCATAAACGATCTTGAAGAGGGAGCTGGCGACGGAAAACTTAGGCTGCCGAGACGGACCGATCGGCCCGCTGGACTAAGCTAGTTTAGCTGGGAGGCCCCCACCAAAACCCTCACATTTTACCCTCATCTTTCCAATCTCTCGGTAGGGAGGTCTGCACCAAAAGACCTGCACCCGCGCTAGCACCAACCCTAATCCTATTTTCGGAAGGCGGCCCTGCAGTGGGAAACCTAGAACTAGCTTTAGGGAGCGCAACTTTTAGGGATCCATGTGGGCGCTATAGGGTCCTTGAGCCCCGAAGGGGCTGGGTTCAGGTGCAATTCCGAAATTCTAAGCGCATGGTCCAGGCAGGAAACCCTTGAGGTGGGGCGATATCCGACATCTGGACCCTTTCCTTGGCATGGTGCAGGACTTTTGGTGCAGACCTCCGTAGGCATTTATAAATGAGATGTCATCGTTGGGGCTCTATAATAAAAGCATGAATGATAACCACCCGATGCGGCGTCAAGTCCAGGCTCTACACAAGATTGCCGCAGTCGTTTTAGGGTTCGAGTCACCAAAGCACCCCTAAAGTACCCCCCAAGAGACTTCTACTTCAAGGTGAGGTTTTCGACTCGGCTCCAATTGAGTCGACGACCGGGCTTGAATTGAGGTAGACTGGTAAGTGAATCAGCAGATTGAAATGTGTTCCGAGTTCACTGTCTTGACTGTGGTCGTATTCGTGACGTTGTGACAGATTTCGTCGCTGAGCAGCTTCCTCGGTGCTTCAACAAGCAATATGCCATTTCCCGTGGAAGGATGAGAACCCCTGTGTGTACTTTAAAGTACGGAAATATTGGTGGCTTGAACTACCCAAATCTATTTCTGGAACGGGTGCAAGCTGCCCTGAATGCAAAATCTCCGTACAGCGCTATTGAACCTACATTAACAATTCCCATTTTCGCCTCCTTCTCACTGTTTACCAATGTCGGCCTCAAGAATTCGAGGAGCATCGATTCAATGGCATGGTTCCAATGGAGAAGTATCAACATTTGTGCAATACGCCAAGGTAACGGATAGGGACGAGTGGAGTGCGAGAACGGGTCCACAAGTATTCCTTCCTGCGTCCCGAAGTAGATGGTACTCATGCAGGACTTATGCAGGCTGTCACTATGCTAGTCAACATCCAAACATCTGCGCTGACATCTATGTCACCAATACCTGTGCCCAGTGGAGCATGGCAAAAGAGCATCATCTGCTTTTTGACCATTTTCCTGTTCAATCTTCCCTCTCGGGGTATTCCATGATCACTTTCGCCTTCCCCTTTCGCTTCTCCTCCGCTCTACTCCATAATTATCTCAAGTCCAAACTATAAGAAGGACAGAAAGACCCCAAAACTGACCTCCACTGCCCATTCCCTAACCGCATCATCTCCCGTTACGCTCGTCACATCACCGCAAAAATGCTCCTCCAATCCCGTTGGCTTTCGAGCTTCCTCTTCATCGCATCAGCAGCTGCCTATGCCTACCCCCCAGCGGGCCTGAAACCACGCTACCTCGCCACCGGCACGGGCATCTCACTGCCCTCGACCAGTCCACCGCCCTATCCCACCGGCAGCGCCAACGGAACCTCCGTCTCAACCTCCCCGACGTCCGCCTCCACAACAGCAACGCCCACCCCGACATCATCCGAACTCTTCTTCCTCGTCGCCGCCGACACCGGCACCGACCTCGACGGCGACTACGCCTCCATCGGCTCCGACACCAGCGGCAACGGCCTCCTGGTCCTCTTCCTCGCCGCCGAACCGGACCAAGTGGCGTCCTTTTCGACCTTCAACATCAACGCCGACGGCACGCTCGAGAATGAGTTCGTCGGAGGCATCGCGAGCATATTCGCCGGCTCCAAGTACGACAGTCTGCACTTCGAAAACGAGGTCTTTGTCGACGAGGCTGGGGACACGAAGTCGATCTGCGAGGTTGTGGGCGGGGCCCTGACCTGTCAGACGGGGGCAGCGACGGTGTTCTTTGTGTGTCCGGTACAGGACATTGATGGATCGTTTATTGGCGGGACCGTGGAAGTGGGGCCGACGACGCAACCGGGGTGTACGACGCTTACTTTGCTGGCGGTGCCCGTTTAGGTCGGTGAGGATGGGTGGAGGATTTGGACAATAGGGTAGGAAACGACACGAAGACATAGATAGATACAGACGACTTTGCTTTTTTGCGGCGGATAGAGCGGATGTTGATGCACCTTTTGCGTGCTGTTGTTAACAGTGTACTACTTTATAAACATTCCAGACACAAGAAATAGACTTCACAATCCGCTCTTCTCCGAATGAAGCAGACCATCGAATCTCGACGCCAATCTTCCAAAGCTAGATAATATTCTACACACACGTTTCAACAACATCATCATCATCATCCGTCTCTAGCGGCTTTTAGTGCCCGCACATGTAGTATACATAGGAACCCCCCCCCATTTCCCAGCGCACATCAGCACCCCCTGACCCCAAAAAAGAATCCAAACAACCACCACCAGCGCCATCCTTCCTCCCCCCTTCCCCCCTCCCTCCACCACCATTGAACCTACCCCAAATCGCTCAAACCGACTCCCCCCCTATCCCTTTCTCTCTCTCCGTATTCCTAAAACTAGGTGTGCATATCGCAAGAACCCGTCACACACAGGACCTTACCAACACCAACCCCAACCCCAACAACAACCCTCCTCTCCCCCCTCCCCTTCAACCAAACATACCATTCACCCCCCCCAACCCAGCGCCATCTACATACAACAAGTAAGCCCAAGATCCCAAACCGCGACGAAAAAAACCCCGCGCCGCTTTCAGATCCCAATCCATGCATCCCCATCCCATCCATCCCATCCATCCCATCCCATCCCATCCCATCCATCCATCCTCCATCCTCCCCCCCCCCTCCCCTCCCCCAACCCTTCACCAACCCACCACCCGCCCCTCCAACCCCATCCACGCCACCAGCCGGGAACATCCACAAAAGCACGTAGCGACCCTCCCCGCACTTCGGGCGCAAAACCCCCTTCGACAAGACTTGTACAAATCCGGACAGATTGCCCGACAGCGGTGACGGTTCCCCACGGGATTGATTGTTTTCATCGGCGGTGACCAACCTTGGCGAGTTTTTCAATCCTCGAGGAACCCGGTCGGGTTTTACCTCCGCGCCTGCAGAGGGAGGGGTCGGACAGGTAGGTGCAGGGCACGGTGCCCCCCCCCCCCACAAGACGAAAAAAATGACGGGTTCGCAAACTTTTTGGCTAAGGATCGTTATCCCCACCTGCGAGAAATCCCTCTATATTTGAATATTCAATCCTTTCCTATCGCGAACCGATATCTATCTATCCCCTCTATGCACGCATGACACTTGCTACGTTCTCTTACACGCGCCGACAGTGGTGACCGTGTCCGCCGGGCACGACGGGAGCCGAGGCTGTGGGGTCAAAGGGAACGGACGGACGGAAGCATGATGGGAGGAGGAGAAGGTGCGTGCGTATAAGGCGGACTGCATCCTTGGCATGAGACTCCGCGGTCGGATAGCGGTTATGGAGAAAAGTCTTGGGGGTGATTGATCTCCGCCATCGATGGAAGGAGCGCAAGGGGCAAGTATAGACGAAATAAAACGAAACGAAACAAGGAGACGTAACATACCAACCAAGGATCCAGATGTGTCAGTCGACGATGATTTGCTCATCCGTGCGATTGGTCGGAAAGAGGGAGGGGCGGGGAGATGACGGCTGAAAATTATACCGATCGGTGCTATGTAATTCGCAATACGGATCGGGGAAGGATGGCAAGCTATGACCGCGCTCTTGAAGCGCGGTTAGATGTGCAAGGTAAGTGGGTATTTGAAAATGTTTGTGTATGCGCCGGCATGCCCACGACTCCATTCCCCTTCCGATGCTGGGGTATAAGGGTACATCTCCGACGCAGAATTACGAGCAGACCTGACAAAATATCTCATACCCAAGTATCTGTGTCGCCCAAGACTCACGTGGTATCGCTCAGAATCTATCAACGGCGATCAAAGAACCAACTGCTCCTCTTCCCGCCTGGACTACCGTTTGCCTCTTGCGCCTGCAGCCCACTCAATACAGGCAGGTTGGGACCTGCGCCGTTCATTTGCTCGTTCGCGCCGCCCCCTCGTAAGGGTTTTGCTATCCGCGACCCTGCTCCTCCAAAGTTGAAACCGACAGGGTTGTTAGATGCTAATGACATGTTACGCGTGGAGCCGTGCTTGGCGGCTTCGAGTCGCTCTTTGACTGCGGTGAGTTGTGCTTCGAACCTGGAGAAGATGTGGTGGTCAGCTGCTTGCTCTGCATTTACCCGGTGCTACGTACCTGTGGTTCGCTGCCGTCAACTTTTCTTGACTATCCTGCAGTAGCGCCTCTAAACTCATAATTCGCTCATTTCTTGCCATCAGCTTCCTCTCCGCAATCGCGACTTCTTTCTTGAGACTTCCGTTTTGCTCAACAAGTTGTCTTTGCACATGGGTTAGCTGTTCTAGATTTCGCTCTAGAAAGGCCATCTTCTTCTGCTGTGCCCGGTTGTTGGATGATCTAAGCACATTGTTATACTGCTCGCGGGTCTCGTCTAAGGATATCTCGAGCTCCACCACACGTTCGCAGCGATTTTGAAGATCCCGCATCAGCGACTTCTTCATGACGTCAAAGTCGGCGATCTGCTGTTGAACAGTCCTGCTGGTTGCTGTCGGTTGAGTTGCCCCGTTGGTCCTGGGAGCACGTTGAGATTCTTCGACGCTCATTTTCAGACGATGATTCTCCTCGTCCTTTCGCGCCAGGTCTTCTCGCATGTCTTTGATCATTTGAGCTTGTGTTTCCCTCCTGCTGGTGTAGAGTTCTGACAGCCTGCTCTTGACCTCGTCGATGTCCGCTTCAGAGAGGTTGCGCTCCATTAGCTCTTCGTACTCCTGTTCGACGGTCGCTAGTCGCTCAACAAGATCTCTTCTTCGGTCTCGATCATCACCTAGCTCGGTTGTGGCATTCGAGCTCACATCCGCTTGCCGAACGATACCTTCCGCTTCGACCAGTCTGATCCTCAGTTCCTGCAGCTCGTTAGGCGCAATCATCTCTCCCGCAGCACTAGTCTCATGAAGGGCATCGACCTGTTGTATGCATCTTCGGATCTTGCTTTCGTTGTCTGAGAAAGAATCATCTCCCATCTCGAAGCCGGCCATCATCTGTGCCATTCGTTCCGCTTTTTTCTTCTCCTTTTCATCGAGAACACCGTTCGTCTCCTTGGCGCTCATTCTTGCGTCAAGCAGCTGCTGCTTGACCTCGTCCAGCTCGGTGGTAAGTTCCGAGTTGGCTTCCTTCAAGCCGTCCATGGTAATGGCAGCCTCTTTACTCTCGAATGCTACTCTCTCAAGCTGCATCTTCAATTCGTTCACCTCGCTGCCAAGCTTCTCATTTGTTCTGCCTTTTCGAGAGCTGTTCTCTTTCAATAATTGAAGCTCTTCCTTCGCCTCTTTTAAAGCCTGTTCTGCTGTAGATAGTTGAGACTCTTTCTCGGCCACCTGGTCCTGCAGCTCGTTTTCTCGTCGCAAAAACTCCTCTCGCTCGTCCTTTTCGAGTACAATGCTAGGAGTAGAAGCTCGATCTCCAGTTCTCGATTCCGATCGGCTGGGTGTCTCTGACCTGCCAATTTCTTGCAATCTGGATGGTGTGCCTGGTCTGCCAGGACGCGACTCTGCTCGCGCACCGGCTACTCCACCAGCAGCTAATGCAGGAGCCCATTTCTCTTTGGGTACTGTCTCCCCGCTGCGCCATGATTGGACCTCTCCTTCTAAGCTTGAGACGTAGACCTCATACGTCGTGACTTGGTTTTGCGCTTTCTTCAGTAGCTGCTTCATTTCCAGTGGACTGAGCTCAGCGTTGATCTTGGCCTTGTTCTTGATAGCCTTAGCCCTGACACCAAATCTCAGTGTACTTAGGGTCTCTTGATCGTTATAGCTGCTTGGCGAGCAATTGATGATCAAGGTAGTCCTGGAATTACCACCCAGTGATTCTTGCAGAATCCGAGTGAGCTTCGAGTCTCGGTACGGTATGTGTGTCGATTTGCCGTCTGTGAGCGAGTTGATCACCATTCCCAGCGCGCTCAAACTCTTGTTTATTTTCTTAGCTTCTTCAAGCGTCTGTCCACTGGCACCTGTCTTCCCAACCTTTTCGCTACCAGCAAGATCGACGAGGAAGAGTTGCCCGCTTTTAGCTGAGCCTGTCTCAACATTCTTCTGGGTGATAGTGATGACAAAGATCGAGTGTGACCGTGAAGACTCTTGGTTCATGTTCGTCGCAGCCGTAGCCCTGGCAGCACCTCCTCTCCTCATGACCTCATAGACTTCTTGGACACTCGAGACGTAGATTTCCAAGAGGCCCTTGACATAGACTCCCCTGCTCTTCTCTTCGTGTATCGGTAGATTGTCATTCTGAGGTACCAACAGATCCCGGATTTTTTCCATATAGATCTCCATATAGCTAACCCGAACGGTGTATTCGATGTTCCCAGGACTCCGTAATATGCTGGTAAACATCTGCTCCACTATCCGGGGTATGATTCCTCTTTGATCCTCATCGTCAATATCGGCGCCCATCATCGTGTAGGACTTCCCCGCCCCAGTCTGCCCATAGGCGAAGACCGTGCCATTGTAGCCGTTGAGTATGTCGTCGACCGTAGAGCGGATTGAGAAATCGAAGACATCTGTTTGCCGCGAGGTTGTGTCGAATACCCGGTCAAAGGTAAATGCGCCGGCTGCTTCATGAGACTGCGATAGCGTTAGCCATGGTATTCAATTGCCAATGTTCCCTCAACAAACAGCCGTGGCAGCTCTAGGTACAGGGGATTAGTGCTTCCTCGCGTACATTGATGCTGCATGTATCATCCGTCTCGAAATCCACTATTTGATCTCCTCCACTCGCTAGCTCTGCCTTGTTCGGGGGACGAAACCGCGCAACCACTGTGCAGAGAATATCAGCTCTTGTATCGGCCGTACATTAACCTAATAGTATGTCGGTACCTTTTATTGTGTTTCCTGCATTCGCGGCGCTCCTGAAACGTTCGTGTCAGTAGGGGCTGCATGTGCGACGTCTTCCACGGCACTTACGCCATGGCGAAGGGCTTAGTCCAAGACCACCGACGTCTCTATGCTACCTCAAGACCCTTCTGGCGAGTGGACAGCATGGAAGTCTACAAAGACCAAAGCAATCGGTGGTGTTGATATCTGGAGGCAGAAGGGGACATTTTGGTCCAAGGGTGCCGTTTTCGGGGTGACGCGCTGATAAACATCCACTAGGGTCGTTTTAGGAGCAGCGATCATGATATCAACACTTGATTTTAACACAGAATCAAATCAATCATGGGATCATATGCGTGAATATAGAGAATTGCAGTGTATCTAAAGGCTTTATGTTTACTATGCTCGAACCAAAGCTTCGGGACAGGTTCTATGCGCAATTGCGGTAGGCCGCATGCGGTAATGCAAAGAACCCGTCTCCGTGCATCCTTGCTCACAGAGGTCTCTTGTTTATGAATGATGCTTCGTATGATTCGCAGCTTGGACTGAGCGTCCTGCATTGCGAAGACCGCCAACGCCTCTGCATCCAAACTCCACGCTCAATCATGACATCAAGATGCCCATATAGACAAAACTCTTTTGACCCCATAAATTTCCTCGTTTCAAGATACACCAGTGCGCCTGCTCTCTTAGGAGCATGCTTGAGTATGATCCAAACTTGTGATTATCCTCCCTAATCGTCCCAGCTCTTCTCCACTGTTTCCCGAACCCTTTTCGTGTACTCTCGGCGGTTATCTTTGTAGAGGTTCGATGCTTCGACGTTGGCAGGAGATGAAGTATTGGGATCGTTGAGTAGACTAGGCGTGAGTTGTTAGCATCTATAACACGCTTGCAAGACCTCCGCGTACCTTTGAATGCTTGTCAAAATCGCAGCCACGTCATACGTAGGACTCCACCTGTTCTGCAAGATATCCAAGCACAACTCTCCCGTCCCATAGACATTTGGGTGAAACATTTGGCTGATGAACTTGACTCCTGGTGGTTTATTGGGATACTGCTCTTCAAAATGCATGACTAGACGGAACGTTCCATCTTCGAAAGGTGTGTCTGCAGGTCCTATAATCACAGCATTCCTTTGTTCATAGAAGTGAGCCCATTTGGCCCCACCCTGTCTGCACGAGTAGGGATGCGTACCAGGTCATGACATTGTCGGCGATAGGAGACGCTGAGACACCTGCTGGTGGATCTGTTTGCATACGCTAAGTCAAAATGTTTGTTAGCTCAAGCAGTGACCCAGGCCCCATTTGTCGTTTTGGAGGATCAGCAAAGCCAGCAATAGGTAGGGACAGAAGACTTATTGGGGCATAGTACTTTGAAATCACGCATGAGGCGTCTACGCGCCGGTGTAGTCATTTTCTGACTTGAACTTGGACTTGGATTTGAAGCTGATCTTGGGATGATGGAAGATTGCACTGATGTGGGATGCGTGAGAGGTGATGGTTGGGAGGTGTTCGTGTTTGGGGCGTGACCCTCATGCGAGCTCCCGAGCAATTCGCCGCTTCGGGGAATTGACAAACTGCCGGGACCTCTCGCCAAGATCGCCAAGATCGCCAAGACTGCCAAGATTGGCTGACTCGACAGTCTATCAAACGCAAGGTTTGATGGTAAAACTCCTTTTGTACGAGATAAACTTCCTCATTACATGCTACTCTTCAATTTTCTTATCGATAATTCGAGTGTAAAATACCAGGCATCGTCGATGTAGTGATCGGGTTTGAAACCTCCCATTGCGGTGGCGCTCTGACCATCCGAAATTAGTATCTCCATGCATCATCATTTTCGTGCTGCATGACGCCTTAAAACGGGACGATTCAATACAATGGATCTGGGCCTCTGTAGATCTTTTTCACCAGTAGGCTCCACGACGGCAACGGAAAGGAGCACGTGCCTGGGCTGAGCGCAAAACTTAGTCTCGACAACTCTACTACCGATTACATATGAGGCAGACTATCAAATAGTGTAGACTTTGGCGCGCGCCCGGGCGCTCACTAACCATCTCTTCTACCCAACAACAATACTGAACCACTGGGATAGAACGGTTCCATCCGTGGGGCCCATCAAGCCTCGATCCTTTCTCCAGAAGCTGTTCCAATATACCGAGCACCGATCACTTTCCCGTCGTCGATCCTCACGATCTCTTGCATGAAGACCATCCCATGCAGAGCCTGCCCTTTCCAGTCTAGCACGAGCATGAGCATGAGCATGAGCATGCATCACAGCAACCAATAAGAAGAACGTAGCCATGCCCAAAACTCAGCCGACTCCAACAGCTTCTAGCCACTGTTCTAAAAAGAAAGGAAAAGAAAGCGTTTGTGCGGGTGGGTATACATTCATGACCACAATGATCTAAGTGCATGACCAAAAAGGCACTTAGCATAGTTGATGCATGCAGGAACGCATAGAACGGCAGAGAACTTGGCTACAAAGGTTTCCAAAGTTGGTACCATGCAGTACGTGATATTGGAGCTCAGCGCCCAAAACACTGATTAGGGAAAGCGTTGCAGAGAGGAATATGCTCCGGAGAAGGTACTCTGCATGTCGTCTTATCGCATCTCATGCCTCGAGAAGCCCCCGGAGAGAGTCTATCGTCCAAGAGGGTACCCGTGAGTTGAGTAGCAAACAATTCTAATCGGATGATGAATGTGAGTAGGTTGACAAGTGAAACAAGCGATGGTCATCTCCTTTCAGCAGCTTTTTTCCCTCTGCAAGGATGTGCAACGAGATTTAGGTTCGCCCATAATCTGCAATTTAGAACGGCATGAAGCTATGTCCTCCTTTGCTCACAGGACTTTGAAGAAATAACACAGGTTCGGTGCAAAATTGGATATTACAAGCAACAATGATGAGCGTGTATGAGCCCGTCAGGATTATCGCTGGGGTCACACGATGTTGAAAGGCAAAAGTGCGCCTTTTTAAGCTTACTAGACAGTGGCGTCGTGTCGGCCCGCTTGCTGCAGATGTGAGAACCCATCGAACCCGAAATTCAGAACTGGGGCACTGTGGAAGTGCCTGGAAAGAACGATCCAACTGTGTTGGCAAGAAATATAACGGGTAGAGTGTTGCCGGTTGGTGAGTCTCATCCTTTCCTCATGAGAGAGGAGCACGGTAGTCTTCATTTAGGCCTCAACGACATCGGCTGCCAGAGCGCTGTCGGTGGTGGTCGTTAGCAACAAGGAGGAAGAGTCGGACATGAAGGATGTCATGTTTGCCAACGAAGTTCTCAGGAGCTCGCCAAACCCATCGTATTCATAATCGTTGAAATCGCCAGGTAGCCGCTCTTTGGGTCGGCACTGAGGGGTTGATGTGAAAGCCATCGAGTTGGGCTGGAGATTGTGAAAGTCCGAGCGCTCTCCAGATTCCATGAACCCGACATTAGCGTCATAAGATGAAGGCAGGCGGAAAGCCAGACCCGGTGCCGGTGCCGATATCAGCGACCTTCAGTCCCGGCTCCAAGTTTGGATGATCGTAAATTGTAGCCCGCATGATCCTTTCAGGAAGTGTTGCAGATTTGGTTTAGACGCAATTGTCGGAATTTAGCTTACGCGACATGAGATCAAACGGGTCGGAATGCCCAGCATGTAATCGCAAGTGTATCGATCTGAGCTGCTCGCCAATTTTGGCAGTGGGAGATAGAGATGTTAAGACTTTAAGAGAGAAAGCAGTTGAGACGGTCTCTTCAATGCACTGGATCATCTCTCCTCAGTGCCTCACGGATTCCAGTTGTAAGGAACTGAGTACATTTTTACACTACTGGTTTTAAACAGAAATGTATATTTAGCGTGGTATATCAGCCTTACCTTTGGACCCTAAGGTACACCAAGAAAAAATGGTGGGGCCGAGGGAGCTTATTCCTCGACATGGTTAACAGCAATGGCTGGATGGACCCGCGCTCCGTTTCGACGAAAGCAAAGTGAGGAAAGAGCAGGCAATGAGATCTCAGGGCACAGCCAAGCGAGTCACCGTCTACCGACAACGATCGAGCTAGAGGAACGCGTCACAAGCCAGGTCCAAGAGGGACGGGCGGAGGCGCGACCAGGGAGGCCGCGAAATGCCACTGAAAGCCCCACAACTGGTATCGATACAAGCCACATCGAGCGACTGCAGCATTGGTGGTCTCACAACGTCCGCTTGAACCTCGAGCATGGCGCGCCGGGGGGTGACCCCCGCGACTACCTCGCTCTCGAAAGGACGTTTCTGGGCTGGTTCAGGACATCCGTTGCTCTCATCTCGCTTGGCGTAGTCGTTACACAATTGTTCGTCCTGAAGGACGTCCACCCTAGGAAAGGTAGGATTCTTGGCGTTATCCTGTCTTGTGGAGGGATCGTAGTGGTTCTACTGGGGTGCGTCAGGTATCTCAAGCAGCAAAGACTCCTCACCCAAGGAAAGGCGCTTTCGGGAGGCTGGCATCATCAGGTTCTAATAGTAACCCTATTAATTGTTCTGATCACCCTATTCGTGGTTGTGGTTGCTGATAGCTAATGGTCATTGCTTTATCCGTGGCCACAACTTTGCCTCCATAAAGGAAAATCGTGCTTCTCAAGCCTTGGTTCCTGTTAAAGAGCAGCTCTCTGTTCGGGAGCCGCTACTTACGCCCTGACTATCAATCTAGATCCCTGGCCAAGTGTCTGATCTCAGCTTCAACCCTCTCTCCACTCATTTTCCTCGTTCTGGATCCCTGATGGCTGTACTAACAAGCCACGACGGTCTGATGCGCTAGTGCCTCTTTCCTCTGGCTGAGAGCTAGCCGCTTGCCCTTCAATCTCTGGTGGAGGTTCATCGTGATACGCGTCTACTATTCTTCCACGGATATTGTCCCCATCTCCGTTACCACTGCTGCGGCCATTATCCTCGCCTTCTGCGTCCGTGAGGGAGGAACGAGCAGTCCACGCGGACGAGAGGAACGGGCTTTGTGTTCGGTAGAGGACGAGCATCAGCAGCTAGCAATCGCAGTTAGCAATTTGCTGTTGATATTAGAAAGACGCGATGGGGCGGATTGGGCGCCTAACCTTGAGCAGAAAAGCCACAACAGCAACCAATAGAATCAGTCCGCCAGTGACTTGTTCCATCTGTCTCCATCCACCAAGGCAACTGCTGCCTCTACCAAAAGCTTCGACACAAGCTCTGGCGGTATGGCTCCTATCCGGAAATGGCCATGCTCTGTCCTGGACGTTACGAAAACCACAGCACTGAAATTGCTCTTGAATTCTCCGGATTGCGTCTGCGTTCTTGCTCGAGAATAGGGCGCCCCATTGACGCTCTAGGCCGCAGATCAACTCGCTTGGGGGAGCGACATGAGTGAGAGCTAGTGTAGCAATCACAGTCTCGTAGATGATGAGCAGCACGAGAACAATTAGAGCAGGCCAGGAGAAGGACATCTTGGCACGTGCATTGGAGCCATTTTCGCGGATGCGCAACCTTTGAGCGCCACGTAGAGTGACGCCGGTTATTACGGGTAGGATAATGGTTGCTGTGGCGGTGACCGTGGAGATGGGCAACGAGAATGCTCGGATCCTGTACAGGGCGATGCTGCAAAGCAATTAGCACTATTCTACGTGACAATAGAAATGGGGTCTGGACGAACCCGCCAGTCACCACAAGTCCGACCAGGAGCTAGGTTGGCGTCAGCTGAGACAAACGTTCTCCTCGCACTCAGCTCACCAGGGGAACCAGAAAAGAGAGCGCTTGGGATGATGAACGCATCTTTGGCGTTTTTCTCTCAATTAAAAGTTACGATTGTTCTTCAACTCTTGGAAAATGCTTATGTGAAGAACAACAGTTTGTGGGAAGAGGCGGAATTGATGAGAAAGCATAAAGTGGGGTAGACGCATTGAGAAGCTGATTGCTATTTGATTGGTTATCACTTTATGCAGCTTCCCGTCGGACAATTAATGTTGCGAAATTCATCTCGCCTCTATCAACGTATGACTACTGACCCGTAGAAAACCTTTCACCAACCGCAAATGAGTCAGCACTTCACAAGGTGTCCGGATCTTGACCTTGACCAAAGCTGTGATGCATTAAGCCGCAAGGACCTACGATTTTGGACATCGAGAAGGCAGCCGGATGCCACCGTCGAAGGATGCACTGTATTCTTTGCCATTATGAAGACATAGGGGTTTCCCCGGATGTGGGATACCCAAATGCTGACGTCGCGGGCCCCCAGGATCGATGACCTCTTTGTAAGGTTTCGTGTACAATGCGTCGAACTCTAAGGATGCAGCAGTCTCTCACGCCGAGACCACGAGGAGGTATAGAAATTACAAGGATCTCTATTACAACCCTTCAACGTTAGTGGCTTCTACGGCTGCGAAGAATCTTTGCGAGTATCAGTATTTGGTATTTGCTATTCGCGACTCGAAACAATGAATTCTATTGCCAACCGCATGGACATTGTTAATTTCTGGACTTGTTGTCAACTTGTCAACATCCGAAAACAGAGTATACCGTGACTCAGCACAACTCTACAGGTTGCCTCCATAACCCACGACTATGCAAACATTGTTGTGATTCCTTGGCCTATTCGGCCACCTCACCACCACCATATTTGCAGCCCCAAGCGGACTGCAGATAGTAGACCCGTCACTCGAGTTGTTCGCGAACGACATCCTTGCTGGCGAAGCCACCAACAACACCCTCCAAATCAAACCCGATGCCTTCCAAGCACTCAATGACCCAAACTACCCAATAGATATCAAATGTACTCCCGCAGGTCGTGGCTTCCAAAAGGTAATCGTGAACGAATACTACGAGACCGTTGACAGGATTTTGATCCGGGACGATGCCATGACCCCTGAGCAAGGGTTCCTAGGCCCCCCTGTTCCCGGGTACAGTTATTCCTGGACAGCTGATAATTGCAAAATCGGCTTCGGCGCGAGGACATCAACGCGTACACAGCCCCTCCCAATCACTGTAGCAGCGCAGGTGGCGGCTTTGGTGGCTAAGGAGTGTATTACTGAGGCAAAGGGCTTTCTGGGAGGACTAGTAGTGTTGGATATTCCTGGAGAGCCGATTGCGGGTGTAATGGGGGCTCGGCCGGTGATGGATGCTTCTTCTGCCTAGACATAGGGGCCGTGATGGAGAGTCTGGAGATTTTTGGGACGATGGAACACGTCAGCATGAGAAGTATCTATACAGCGTCGGTTTTCTAGACAAGCTCTGAATTATACCTCCCCGGGCTCAAAATTGCCAAGTACGACAAAATCTGAAAATATGATTGGTCGATTATGTCGGACAATTCCAGCTGAACTTACTACGATTTCTCCTAAGCTCTTCCAACCGTTTACTCCTCCCTGTCTACAGACTTACCGATTAAATATTCCCTATGTCACCTTCCAAAAAGTCGCTGTCCAGGAGTGTTCCGTGTCAAGCCGTCGACATAGTCCTTTCGCATGTCCATCCCGCAGAGCGGACTGACGAGACTAATCGCGGGCGCAATATTGAAGCTAACGAAACTATATCGGTGCCAATGCTTCTAGATATACACCGTCATCGTCCGCAGCAACCTCATCTCCTTTACTAAGGGTTCAACTCTGTACCACCAGGAGAAGGATAGCTCGGAGGAATCTCAAGCGCCCTCCCGACCCTATTGACCCCTTCAGCCATCATATTTCGAGAGCGCTCTATACCCCTCACCTCAACACTAGAATGCTACTCCGTACCTCAAGCCAACTATCTAGCAGCATCTTCCATGATACGTCGAACAGAGCCGAGTCAAAATGCCCAATCATTATCTGTGAAGGTTGAGTATCTGGTCCTTCAAACCCTTGAAGGAAAGATTCCGTCTAACTTCCCCAACCCCGTTACGATGAGCCACCACGCCGTCCATTTTCGCTCCAACAATCAATCCATCATATGCACGCCGACGGCACCTCCTCTCCCCTTGCTCGCTCACCCACACCATCATCCATGCCTATAAATCCGGAACGCCAACAGTGGAGACAGATGCTCCGGGAAGTGGGACCCCACAGATAGGATATGGGAAAGCCGAAGGGAGAACCTCGTCGTCGTGGATAATCAATAGTTATATAAATCGAGAAAAAGATCAATCAGCACTTCCGCACCTCCAACGCAACAGCATCCAGCACCCAACCCTATTTGGTCGCTCACCCAATACAGCATGAGTGAACCCCATGTTCCCCTCCACGTCAAAGACGTCTTCAATACTCGTATACAATCCCAGTCCTCCCTCCTTCCCTTTCACAGACTGCGCCAGCCCACCCCGCATTCCCACCCCCGCTCCACCGCCCCGGAAGCTCCTCCGAATGCATCGTCCGTGTTTATAGTCGGTAAACGCCCTTTCTTCACTGCAGATTCGCGTTTTCGATCGCTGACGGCGTGGGTGCTGTATACATACATAAGTTCCTACGAATGATCATCAGGCGAAGCGACGAGTAGGAGTAATGGGACGAGCGAAGACGGTCAGGGGGGGGAGGGGGGTTGCGAACTAGGGAGGTGAGGTAGGTACGACATAGATGCGGGCGGGATTGGGCTCTGTATTTGTGATTCGGCTCGTCGGTACTGTTGATGGGAGGGTAGGGATGACACTGAGGGTTACGCAGGATGGATGGATGGGTCGGAGGTTGAGACTTGGAGATGCATGGCGGGAGGGAATATAGATTTTCTGTTACCGCGGTATACTGCGCCGTCTTCGCAGTGGGCATCTCTCCAAACCCTTGCGACTACCGGACCGCGGCGCAGCGGCGTAAGATGCGGGCTGGCTTGGTATTGGAGGGATTCCCCCGTTCGGGTGAAGGGTTCTGCTGGGTTCATTGCCTTGTGCGTTTGCCCGGTCGCTCGGGGTGATGAGTGCTGGGGCTATTGAGGGAAAATGTTTGCTCGAGGCAGAAGGGGTTGGAAAGAGGGAAGGAGGGAAAAGAAAGGAAAGTAGGGGACGGTGCGGGTTAGAGATGTATGCAGCTAAGAAAGGAGTAGGCGTTGAAGGGTCTATCGCTAGGGGCAGCTGCATGGGAAGGCAATAGGTGGTCATGTTCAAACTCGCTGGGTGTTGCAATTTTGGGATGGGATTTTCATGCAATTGGCCATCTTCGAATCAGCCCTATGTTATTTGAAAGGCAAATTAGATGGCTCGCTGGTGCACTATCCTATGAAGAGAGCCAGATTTGCTGGATTGACAATGAATGTGTCTGGGAATACATCACCGCCAGCGAGCATTTCCAGTCAATCCCAAGCCTAATCTCAAAATCCATGCAACCCTCTCATATTCTCCTGAAGCCCTCTATGCTCTATTGCCATCACCCCTGTCTCTCTCACTTCTTCAACCATCGTCTCATCGCCTCCATGCAGCATCATGATATCCTCGCGCAGAACATCGTTCTCCGCCAGCCACAAATCTCCACGGGTTCGGTCCTCGCGGGCGGATGCTTTACCTGCAAGGAAAAGGAATGATATCGCCCTCATGCCTTCGAGCTTGAGCCCTAAGACGGTCCCTGCTTCCTTTCCCCAGCGGCTTTTGCGCACGCCCTTTACGGCTTCCGTGATCAGTAGTGGCTTCTTTACGAGGTCACGCGGTACTGCCTTCATGCCATCGAGGGAATGGAGAGCCCAGAAGAGGTCGTCGTCCATCTTGATCTTCGCGTAATGTCGCTTGCTTTAATCCAAAGAATAGCCACATCCTCGCCATCGCAAAGCTCCAGGATCAGGATGCCGTCTCCGTCCCACTTGTAACCCTCAACATGACGGCCAACTAGGCTCCGTGGATCACGTCCCTTGCCATTGAAAGGTAGAATTTTGGTGTTAAGGAGATGGCCCAATGTCCAGCCCTCCGCATGTTCCCCCTCTAGAGCCTCAAATAGCCTGCATAGGAGGTCGTTTTGGCAACCAGACATCTCCAGTTGGCGCTTGCTAAGCTCGTACTGGGCGTCGGAGACGAAGAAGAATGGATCATACAGAACAGCGACCACGTCGTTCATCTTTTGTGAGGGCAGATTGAAGATTGCTATTCGACGTGGAGTGTGAGGGGTTTTTCCGAGGAGTGTGGCTATGTAATCCATTTCTTGGCAGAGCAATGTTCGACGGAAGCGATGGTACTGTGAAGAGCTGAGTTTTTTCCTTGCAGCTGAGATCTGGGATGCGTGATATCTTTGTAAAATGGCATGTCGTTGGTATCAATCAATCCCAATGCTGGGGTGGATGCAAGAGTCATAGTTGGAAGTCCAAGGAACAGATCTCATAGGACGCCGTGGGAACCGCGGAGATTTCTTTCGAAAGTCTTAATCATATTTGAGCTGAGAAGCCTTTGATGGGATCAGCTTATGGTCAGTCTGTGAAGGATGAAAGAAGCAGCGTCAGCATCCCAAGGATGAAATGAAGGCGCCAATAAGAATAGATGTGAAGAGGAATTAGGTTGCATTAGGCGTTATTTGAGTATAGATCCACTCCCTGGCGTTATTGTTCGACTTCAACCTGCTAACATCAAGTGTTGATATCTGTTGGAGGGGTCATGCTAAGCCCAACCAGCCTCAGCACTTCACAGAAGAGGTCTTGTTTTCACCACCAGCAATGGTTGGCGAGGACATTCTGGATTTCTCGATCTCATGCATCATGCCTGTAATTCTTCCAAGCGCCTTACAGCCTTTTGTGTAATGTTACAATAGCAGCAAGCACGAAGGGCACCCAGCACCAATACTGTTGGAATTGAAGAGAGGTTATGGATTGATTAGCTATGGAGTGGTATGTAGGCTACTTGTATACCATGTGAAGCCCATGCTAATTTGCCACCTGCGGGGTAGCTATAATACACTATGGTGCTGCAGTAGATTTCAACACACCCCCATGATGCAGCATGGGTTTTCAAGCTGAGATACGAGTATTGTTGTCCTCGAAATCGTCACCCCTTGTCGTTGTGGCCAATCTGGCCTGAAATCTTCGTGCTTGTTTTCCACTATCTCCCTTGTGTTTTGCCTGATCTTTCATCATTTCCTTATACCAATCCGGAGCCAACTGTGGATATTCAGTCCAGCACTTCTCGCTGAGATGACCGGTAGATCCACAGTGGTCACAGGGCTCTTTTTCCTTGCCTTTCCCCTGGAATCCTGCCTTAAAAAATCGAGCGGAGTCTTGGGAGTGGAGGGCTTGGTTGTGTTGACGATTGGCTTCGAGAACCATTTGGCGTGCTTTTTCAGCTGTGATTGAGGGCGTAACAGCCCAAATTTGAATGAGATACTGGTATTCCTGAGGTAATGATATGGAGAGACAGAGAATCGTACGGTTATTCGTATCGAGTGTGACCTTTGTGGCATCGATTTTCTCTTCGAGAACCTTGATGTGAGTAAGATACTCGGGTATTGTTTTGAATGCTTTGAATTGAAGCGTGTAGTACTCTTTTGAGAGACGCATGAACTCGGAGAATCCCGTGGGCTGGAGTATGGTTCGAAGTCTTGTGAGCATGAGGTAGCCGTCATTGAATTCGGCCTCCGTAAGCTTCTGTTGAACACCTGGACTGATCGTTGGAGTCATAAGATCGGCTGCTTCCTGGGATTTCTCTTCCCAGTCCTTCATTGCCTTCTCTTGTTTCTTGGTGATTGGTGGAGATGTCTCCGTATCTGTACTGGTTGTTGCCGTAGTGACTGTGTCTTCATTATACTCTCCTTGAGTGTATTTCCAAAGCTTCTTTGAACGAAGCTCTGCACGAATGTTGACGAACCATGATCCGAAATTCTCCTCGGTAAGGTGTTCCATTTGACGTGTTGTTCCACTGTCTTTCGTGGACATTGTGACTAAGTATCCACTGTTTTCGTGAGTATTTCTTGGTATCCCACTGTTTTTCGTTGGTGCTCTGTGTTTTCGAGCTGACTTGGTATTCCACTGTCTTTCGTGGATATTTGCTCTGTGTTTTCGAGCTGATTTGTGTGTGGTTTCCTCGGTGTCTTGAGGTATTTGGATTAATGATAGACAACAACTTGTGTAGCAGTTGCGCGAGGGCCCATAACCTGTTGGAATTGAAGAGAGGTTGAAGGATTGATTAGCTATGGAGTGGTATGTAGGCTACTTATATACCATGTGAAGCCCATGCTAATTTGCCACCTGCGGGGTAGCTACAACACACTATGGTGCTGCAGCAAATCTCAACAAATACCCTGAGAGCCTTATTGTTGCGGGCATGGCTCCATTGATTGCGCTTGTGCCATCCATTTGTTTCAATTAATGGTAAATCTGGAGAAAAGGTTGACTCCCGTATCACGCTTCATTGTCCTGTCACATGTGCTGTCCCTGATCAACTTGGTTCGTCTCTGCCATCCTATCTCGTCCCGTCTTTTGCAAGCAGTCCAGACCTCCCTTGGCACGTTGTATCATCTCGCCGTCAGCTGGAGATGTAGGGACATCTATGAAGCCGGGCAGTTGACGAGAGGGTGGCAGCGCTGGTGACGAGCCTCACGGGAACGCCGGACTGGTGGTTTGTGAGGTGAGGGAACCCGCGGCAATTGGGATGGATATGACTTGGAGCAACGGCAGATTGCTGGTAGAGATACTCAACTGCAGAGATGGGTTCTTCACATGCACTTCGCATCTTGTGTTGGCAGTCGATGATCCGAGGCGATCGGAAAGTCCTGACAGCGCTAGTAAAGCCCTAACCCTACATTCGGAAGGCAACCCTGTAGCGGGGACTCCTAGAACTAATTTCTAGGTGCATGAATTGAGCTTTAGGGACTTCTATCGGGCATGCTAGATGCAATGGGCGCTAGACCGGGCGCATTTCGAAGCACATCTAAGCGCAGTGTTCCAGGCAGCTATTCAGGCTGGGCGATTATCCGAGATCTTGGCGCCGGAGTCTTTGCGACCATGAATTTCGGTGCAGCTATTTTCACCCCAGTTCATAACCTTGTGGATCCCCAGGCGTCTATATAAATTACCTAAAGGCATCCGGCGAGTTTGAAAATGCCCCATTGGAAAACTCCATCAAGTCTACGATTTGGTCCAAGCAGCTGCATGAAGACACCTTGCTCAAGTACAAAGACCCTGACGCTTGCAAAAATTGTGTTTGTGCGACTCGCGGCGAAGATGGCAGTCTTGCGGTCTTGCGATCTTATGAATCCAGACGTCATGACCCACTGTACGAGATCTGCAAGATTTGGGAGGCCGCTAGAGCCGCCTCAGCAGCTTCCACTTTCCTCGAACCCATTCAAATAGGACAGAACCGTCAACTATTTGTGGATGGGGCATTGACGGGCAGCAATGATCCTGTCCGAACAGCTAATGTTGAATCACAGTACGATATCGTCCGACACCTGCTTTCGCACGGCGCAGACTGTGCTCTCGAGCCAGGGAAAGGACAGCTGCATGATCATGAAACCCACACTGCCTACACCTTCAACTTTTTTCTATCAAACACCGTCAACACCGTCCCATCCTTCAGCGTCATCTGCCGCTCTGCATAATCGAATCGCCCTGCCCTCGGAAGTAGTACCCGCCATCCAAACCAATAGAGCACACCGCATGCCAGGACCGCGATGCCCACGACAGGATAGAGCCAGTACGGCAAGCTCGTATCCCCTTTCCCGCCCGGCGGCCTCAAGAAGGGCGCGACAAGCAAGAAACCTTGGCCGAGGAGGAAGAAGACGGGGACAGGCCACCAGGCTTTGAATGGTCTCGGCACTTGAGGCGAGCGCCAGCGCAGGATGAAGAGACCGATGCCGACGAAGACATAGATGACGGAGGATGGGTAGCCTTCGAGGTCGAGGATGAAGTCGTAGGCGTCGCCTGAGAGTCTTATCAGTCACCATTCTGGCGGAGTGAATTTAGTTGTAACAATAAAGACTCACCAAACGGTATCGCCACAATGACGATGAAACTTGGGATGAAATGCAAAAGCAAGCCCGCAGAAGGCGCACCAAACGGCCATCCCGAAGCCCAGAATCGAGATAAGGGAATGACACCTTCTTTCGCTAGCTCTTGGTTTACTCGGGCCTGAGCGAACGTGACGGTCAAGACGTTTCCGAATGCGGAAAGGGCGACAAGTACACTATGAAGGCCCTGACGTCAGTAACCGTGCTGGCAGCTAGTACTTCACTGTCGGCAGATCGTACCTCAATGCTCGTTCAGCGGCCGCCCCGAAGACTCGGCCAAAGAAGTAGGTGGCTACGGTGTTTCCGCTGCTGGAGACCTCCCCAGGGGTCGCCGCGGCGAAGAAGGCGACGTTTGCGAGTAGGTATAAGACACCGCATATGCCTAGGCCAAGGGGGCCGGCAACCTTGAGGGTTCGGACGGGGCGTCGAACTTCATTCAGGACATAGGCGGCGTTGGACCATCTGCACTGTTCAGCTTGGGCCCCGGGAGACAAGCAACTAGTTCCTTACCCGGCATAAGAATTCAAGACCTTGAACAAAGCGGTTGCGTATTCATAACCAGACGAAGACGATCCGGCGAAGGAATTCCTGAAGCTAGCCCCTGGATCTGGTATTTTGTGCACCTTTCCGCTGAGAACAACCCATCCGGTGATCACGATGAAGACAAGGACAACAATCTTGATCACTCCAAGGATGTTCATGAGTTTGACACCGAGATTCGGGGTAAAGGTATGGATGCACGTAACGGCAATGATTACCGCAAGTGCGATCCCTCGTTCTCCCCATTCAGTCACGTTGTGATTTGCTGCAATTAATATGTTCTCTGCGAAGATGATACAACCGGACGCTGTAAGATTCTGTCAGTTTCATTCCCTGTGACAACATTCTAAGCCTTAACTTTCAGTATACGGCGTTTTCGGAAAGGTATTCAAGAATGCACGATGTAGCAAAACAAAAACAGAAGTGTTTCTGATCCCAACTCACCCGTAAAGCCAAGGAAGATGGCTTGGGTCGAGAAAACCACAGTAGCCAAGAAACGTGGCTGCCTATACACAGCCTCCAAGTAAACCTTCTCTCCACCACTTCTAGGGAACATGCACCCGAGTTCCAGCCACACGCAAAGACCAGCAAAGGAGAGTAACAACCCAAGGACCCATAGCATCAACGCGGCTCCGACACTACCAACACTGCTGGTAATAGTCGCAGGCGTGGAGAAGATACCCGTCCCAATGATTCGGCCGATGCTAGATAGGCGCATCAATTCTCCCCCACCTATGAACCACTTGAGGGGCGGACGACATACATGAGAAAAGTCGTGCTGAACAGCCCCAAATGCCGCCCCAATCCACCCGCGGTATCTTGCTCCAGCGTCAGATCACCCGGCTGTGGAGTGCGACGCGCATCGAACTCCAACCTCTGAGCATCCGCGGAAGTCGCATCGTCGCTGGAGCTCCCCTCGACGGGAGATTTCTCATCGGAGCTCAAACCCAGCGTTAGTCCTTTGCGCCAGAGCACCATCTCGAGGCAACGTAAGGGGTTTCAGATCGCAGAGCTGGTGAATTGAAAGGTAGATTAGGTCAGTCAATCGAAGTAGATGAAAAGTAGCAATGCGACTTCTTAAACACCAATCTCTGGGCACCAGTTTCATTCACATATCATCTCACAACATCAAATCACATGGCGAAAGCGATTCCCATTGCGCACGCCATGCGGGGATCGGATAACATCATTTTTTTGAAGTACTTTGTTTTTAAAGCTGCCCTGCGTTATCTCGCCTCACAACCAGCCCCGACTCGAGCTGCCGCCATTGGAACGCAAGATTGAGATAAAGGTTTTGATAAGGCCATGGTTTCATTGGTTAGAAATCACTGCAAGAGTCTCAGGGTCAGCCTCGTGAAGATCCTCGCACCCAGAGAGGACATTTAAAAAAGTGCTCTGGGTTAAGAAACGCAGATAAGGTACCTTACTTTACCTTGGGTACATGTACACTTGCGGCTAAAAGGTTGCCAAGCCATCGGAGACATCCGCGCGAATCGTTTGCAATATTGAACTGGAAACGCCTCGCAGGAGGCTTCGAACACGTGGAAGTCGTCTCTTTCTAACCGAAGTCTTCCTAGCTCACATGTTACACCACTCAATCCACCTCAAGGGAACCATTTTCTCCGGTATGGATCCTCTATCGGTCACTGTCAGTAAAATAGCCATCACAGGTGCAATCTGGACTTCTGGAAAAGGTATTGCGTCATTACGCAAGAGAAATAAGTTGCACGATGTTCTTCTGCAGATCTCTTCGGTAGTTGATGGTCTTAGACTTGCGCCTGCAGGTGAGGGGGAAACCTATCGATGCCGGACGACAGAGTGGATACAGGAGCAGGTGAAAAAAGCAGATGAGACTATGATAGAGCTCGACAGACTTGGTCAAAAATGCTCCAAAGTGTCGAACTTGGGTCAAATCGAGTGGCCGAGGCGGAGGTGGCTGCAAAATCGGACGAAAGCAACGACCCTACTATCAGATGTCCAATCGATACGGGGAAAGCTGCTGAGCAGCTTGGCCATTATCAATTTGTGGGTACATTTTATTGCGTCCTCGTTCTCCGTTCGTAGGGAAAACATCGTTTGGCTTTGATGATATCAGAGACCGTAGCTAACGTCTTCACGTTCAAGGTCCTCCACTATCCGCCTAGAGAACTCCACCAGCGAAGTTGTGTTCAATCAACAACAGGCTAGACAAATATTGTCCACTTTGATGGGCCAAATGACAGTACAAGGTTCACCGATTCAAAAAGCACTATCAGACATTCAAGATGTGACAGAGGATCATGGGGGAAACCGGTCGGAGAGTGGATGTTCGGCCAAGCAAGCCGGCACACAGCCTGCCAACATCCGATGGAAAGCAAGCGGTGTTGAAGTCGGAAAACCTGAGACCTTACCCCCAACGACAACCGGGTTCCCTTGGGATTCCCGGTTTGCAAAAGATGGCCAGGTGGCTCACACAGGGAAGCAGTGCTCACTATGGTGCAGCTGTGCCTGCCATTCTCGGAAAACCTTTTTTGTGCCGTCGCCGTTTGGTACTGTCTCGGGTTCCCCGTCGGGCCTACCTCTGCTGACACGTCGTTGTGCTGAGCATGCTTGCAAATGCCCGACTGGTCCCTCTGGCAGTATTGTCTATCGATTCCCTAGCTGGTTTTGGGGCCGTCTATTTGATATAACGATGAAATTTAGCCCCCTCCATGGCCCTGAAATCAACATCCGATTCCCACGAGGGGTCATGCCATAGAAATTGTACCTTTTTGCAATACATGGAGATACAAAAGGAGTAAAAAGTCTCTTTACGGAAGGCGCCGCATCGTCTTGGGACGTGAACGATCATGGGTCATCGGCGCTTTACGTAAGTCATACGGCTTTCACCCTTGCCTACTTTGGTTTTCTTCCATGGTCTCTCCTCGTATACTTCAGATCTAGCAACTTACTCAATGACGACCAGTTCGCTGCCATATCGGGTGATGTTGGTCTCTGTAGATTTCTGATAGAGCAAGGCGCCGACCCTCTGTTCGAGAATCAATACCACACGTACGCAGTATTTGATGCGCTAGTTGTGCGTGTCGACTGATGTGGTATTTTTAGGTCTCCGGTGTCTCTTGCATGAGAACGTATTCTTTCACAAGAGATGAAGCCTGATAAAGCCCCCGAATTTGCCGTCTCATTTGGTCGCATCGACTGCATCAACACGCTGCACTTCAAGCCCCTGCACAAGGCTGTACTCGGCCTCGTTCCTCTCCCTTTGGGACCTCTCCTTGACTGCTCTACTGCAGACATCAACGTCCAGGACCGAGAATGTCGTACCGGTCTATCATGGGCAACCACGAGGGACGACATCGAATCATCGAGACTCCTGCTTGGACACGGCGCCGACGTCATCAAATCGGACAACCGAGGGTTCGGTCCAATTCATTCTGCCAAAAGTCTTCCCAGCCTCAAATTGTTGCTTGATCACAGCGTGGACATCATGTCGAAAACAGCAGTGGGCACTACACCCCTCCACTTTGTCTCTAGATATGGCCGTCACGACATGATGGAACTGATGGTGAAAGCTCATGCAGATTCAAATGCCTCAGACGCAGACGATACTCCGCTCATATGCTCCACTTATGACCATCAGCCTAAGTCCACGGAAACGCTCCTCAAGCTTGGCGCAAAGCCGAACCTTGCGGCTAAGAGATCAGGTTTGACGGTGTTGCACTTCGCAGTGACTGACAATCAACATGATATCATACAACAACTGCTCTCGCATAATGCAGACTGTACTCTCAAGGCAGAAAAAGAGCGGAACATAATCCATCTGGCAGTAATTCATGGAGATCGCACAACAATAGATATCCTCAGTCAAGCTAGGCTGATGGGCATTGATCCGGAGGCGAGGGACTCTCTGGGCAAGACTGCTCGAGGATATTTCGAGGAGCAATCTGAAGAGAGCGCACCAGGTACTGTGAGGCACGCTTTCACAGTGCGGCATAATACCCTCATCGCAAGAAGGGGATCACGAGAAGACGATGTATCACTCCCTGAAGTCTTTTATGACGCTATCAAAGAGATTTAAATTACACGACGGACAGCGAAGGTAAACACGAGTGTCTTGGAAGCTCGGCAGCATCTTTCGAAATGCTTAAATGGTTACCAGGTCGAATTCCGATTTCATCGAGTCCGAGGAGTCATGCTCATCGTGTCGGCATCTTTCATTCCTTATGACCCGGTTACTTTACGGCCTCAAAGAATTAGCGTTTCCAATTCTTCCCCTTACGGATGCACTAGCTTCCCGCATCCGCGATCGTCTTCCTGAAATGGTCTCGGCTAAGGTAAGCGAGCGGCGCTATTTATGCACGTCAAAAGGGGTCGCTTTGAGATCCAATATTAGTCAACGTCTATCCAGGTTTGGCCAAAGAATACGCCTCCGGTCATCGCATTGACAAGGATCGGGCCACTATGTATATCAGATGATCAGATCGCAAGGAAAGTTTTGCCGTTTCTTCCGTCCAGATTGACTCTAGCCCAATCTACTTTTCAGGTGCCTTGCAGAATGCAGCTAGCTAACCAGCACGTGGTTTCCCTTCTTGGCACCAAAGTTTGCCGGACTTGTGGATGGCAAACAGCTTTAACCTGTCCGGTAATCCGGGGATAGGGACGACTCCTCGCTAAGAATCATGGACTTTTCTTCAAGTCCAGTTTTCGATCGCGTTGCTCACGTTAGGATTCGTGGCTGGCCAATAGACTGGTTAGACCAGTGGGTACGAAATGCTACCAGAGGAGGATGAGGATGATGATGATGATATAAAAGCACATTTCCCTCGACATTTCTCCAGAGTCTGGTGCTGGTAGACTAAGTGGCTTCTCTTGCTGGTTCTTATCATTTCACTCTTTAAGCTTCTTCTTTTCCCATCCAAACCACTGTCATTATGTATAACCCTTTCATTCTCGCCGCTCTTGCGGCTCTCACATCTGCGCTTCCCTCGCCGCAGTTGATTGATCTGGTTGCCATCGAAGAATATCCTGACGCAGTCCGCGTGACCGCGCCCATCGATATTGTCAAAGACGTTGTTGCATCGCTCCCTGCAGCGCCCATAAGGCCACTCACCAGCATCATCTCGTCTTCAAAGCGGGACTTGACGGTGGAGAAGCGAGATGGCGATTGTTCACCCTACCCTACAGGGTCCGGGCCTGTACCCTCCCCAGATACCGTGGACGCGTTCGAATCATTCCCAACGTTTGCAGTACGTCCAGCCTCATCTCCTCGTAAAGAGTAAGATTGACTTTTTCCAGGCAATGGCAACCGCTGCACCAACCACCGACGGTTACGAGGTTGTTTTCATCAACTCGAACGCCTCCTTGACTGCTTCAGATTACATGGGACTCTACACCCTTACCAGCTACGACACCCTCGGATGCGCTTCGCAATGCGACCAAGCATCTGGCTGCCAAGCATTCAACATGTACATCGAACGAGACCCGAGCTTGAACGCTAGCGCCGACAATTGCCCAAATCCACCGAGCACGACTAACTACAAATGCACGCTCTGGGGCGCGCCTGTATCGGTAGAGGAAGCAACGAACTTTGGACAGTATCAGGATTCGTTCCAAGTCGTCATCGCTGGCTCTAACGGTATGTGAATCTCAATCTATCCACACCAGTCAGTGTTCCCATCCACAACTTGCACCGGCTGACTTTGCCCCCCAAGCCTACAACAAAGACGCCCCTCCCCCAGCTTGCGACGGCTACAATGGCCCCACTGAATTAGGCGGTGCAATCAACGCCCCACCCTCATCCGGTAGCTATATGGGGTACCAGTATTTCCCCTTCAGCCAGAGCCAAGGCTATGATCCGCAAACGTGTGCCGATGCGTGTAATGCGCAGACGACGTACGATAGCGAGAACCTAGCCGCGGATGGTAGTTACATGGCATGCGTACGTGCTCCCTCTGATTTGAATTATTGTAGGGCTAATGGCGATAGATTTTTTTCAATGCTTATGTCCTATCTGAGGATGGCATTCCCCAAGGGCTGTATTGCTCGATGTACAATGAGACGTGGGATGCGTCGTATGGGACGAACTACGGACAGTACCAGGGAGACGATCGGTATACTGTTTCAAGATCTTATAGCTACGCGCTTATGTAAGTCGATGGGCTTTCTCAGTTTGCCTTCGCGCGCAGAAATGCGTACGGTTTTCTTTCGAAACACACCCTGCCCTTTGAGTAAACCAACTACGATTCATCGAAAAGAGCGGGGAACTCCATCATTGGTACGGTTGGAATTCCTCGTTTCTTCTTGAAACTTTGCGCCTGAATCAGTGCTGCAAGTTGCGTGGGATTCTTAGATTTTGGCAGGTTACCCTTTGAACGGTTTGTTGATACATCCCCTCTTCATAGTGATCAACCCGACTCATCGGCAACATCGAACGTATCTTCTTCCGCAGCGCCTTCCGCAGCGCCTTCCGCAGTAACATCAGCAGCAGCAGTATCATCGTCGGTAGCATCGTCGTCGGTAGCATCCTCGTCGGTAGCATCCCCGTCGGTAATATCGTCGTCGGTAGCATCATCCACTGCTGTATCATCTACAGCTGCATATGCTGCAACAGCATCGTCCACAGCAGCATCGTCCACAGTAGTATCGTCTGCAACCACGTCTTCCACAACAACAATATCAACAGCAGCATCGTCGACCATAGTCTCATCGACAGCGGCATCTCCCATAACGGCTTCTTCAGCAGTAAAAATATCAACAGCAACTTCATCCCCATCCCCATCTTCCACTACCAAATCTTCCACCACACCATCCGCATCATCCAAAACAACATCAACCACAACAGCCTCGACCAAACCAGCCTCCTCAACCACAACCACATCCTCAACCTGCTCCGCCTCCGCCCTCGCCTGCCCGACCTTCAAACCCAGCCTCCCCTCCTGGTCCATCACCAACATCCTCGGCGCCACAACCTACGGCCTCCAATCCCCCGGCAGCACCCTCAAATCCAGCACCGCATCCGCCTCCGACACCTCCGCCTTCTACGCTTCCCTCCTCCCCTCCTCCGGCTCCAGCTCAGCCGCCTCCCTCACCCTATCCCAACCCCTCACCCTCTGCCCCGGCACAAACTACACCGTCAACATCGACTACGCGTTCGCGAACCTCGGTGGCGGGCAGTGCAGCCTCAACGCCACGTACCCGAACACGTTGGCCTCGGGGAGGAGCGTGAGTGTTCCGATGGCGGTGGCGCAGGGGCAGCTGGGCGGGTGGGCGACGACGGGGTGGAAGTTCCAGGCGCCGGCGGTGGGCGGGAGTGGGAGTGCGGCGTTGGGGTTTGTGTTTGGGTGCAGTCAGGGGGGGTTGCATTTGATTTATCTGGATGATGTGAGGGTGGCGGTTTGGAAGGGGGATGCTTATTGATTGGGTTGATGGAGGTTAGGACGGGAGTGGGTGAGGTTGGGAGGGAGTACGGGAGTGAGGTGGGAATCATGTAGTAATGTTTATACTTAATACGACCCCAACGTCAATCAACTCCTGAAAAGCGGCACCCTACTCACGTCTTTGCGTTTTGCAAGACCAGTGGCTGCCCCAAGCTGGCGAATCTGGGAGATATAGTGTTTGAATGGCACATGCTGATTCATAAGACATCGACGTTTTAGGGCGTGCATGACGACTTGGTTCATCCAGACCCAGGGCCTGCTGATTGTTCCATCCTATCTATCGTCTTTCGCGTCTGCCGAGATATACATCTTGCCAACGGCTTCTGCAAAATTCTTTCTACGTCAAATTAGCATTTGATGCTTTTCGTAAGAGCCAACTTACCGTGTTTGGTTGGTAATTCACATAGGTCGGCCATTGCCATGATCTCCACTCATCGTGACATTCTACGAGTAGCGTTTGACGGGACCACCTGAGATTTCCTGGCTTCCACAACATTCTAGGTTATAATTAGAAATAGTGACAGGAGTCCAACGCACCGCATCCGATGTGGTCTAGTGGTTAGGATATCCGCCTCTCATTACTGAGAGACTCCAGTGCGCGGATGGCCGGGGTTCGATGTACGTGGTTAGAAATTTTCTGAGATGCGCCTGATGTTGACATCAAGCTAGTCCCCGCATCGGAAAAAACACAATTAAATTTTTTGCCCATATACTTGAATCTCGTGCTCTGTGTTTTTTCGCCTTGGAAAGGATCTGGCACCCATTGTGGAGCTCGCACATGATGTTGCCGAAGATTTACCGCGAGCGATGTTCGTGGCACGCTTTTCTGTGCCGAGGTACGCGAGTCTTATCGATAAGGACGAGGCATCTCCCAATACTCTTTCTATTCGCAGATTCTCACATTCATCGCTATATACTTATCCTAAACTTATTATATCTACTCACCTTCCTGTACTTTTACGTCAGGATTAGACCCACCCATCGCCACTACAAGGAGCTCCAGATATTTACTGTATCCACAGTGAACCCTCCCGTCGCCTCTTACAACTTAGCCGTCTGGCATATGACGAACTCCGCCTAGGAAATGGCGGTCCACGAGACGCAAGTTCAACCAGAAAGGGACCAGCCTGCGAAGACTCCTTTGCCAGTATACTCTATGCTTCCGAGCGCCTTGCAAAACAGCCTGCAACCGCTGGTTTTGGTCCGAAGAAGCCTCACAGACTACGGCCTTCGACCACGGAGAAGAGTCACCAGCCTAGACACGTACCGCAGTGAAAGTGAACATACACAGGTGGTCCCAGATAAGATGGCCGTAGCAGGCGAATGCACGGCAGACAGCGCAGAGGTCCCAGGCATAAGCTGGAAGTTTGCCCGCCATGGTAAGACGGTGCACACAAAAGGCAATCACCACAAAATTGTCTGACAAGAGTCAGGCTCGAGTATTCTTCAGACTTCACTTACAGAATCTCAGACCTCAGACGCTCAAAGCCAGGCTTTCTCCCGCCAGCTTTACCTTGACGCCATGGCATACCTAATCCAAGGCCTTCCTTCTGACCTCTCGGACCAAGAAATGCTTCACCTGAAAACCGCTCTACCAGACTCCCTGAAAGACTCGACTCCTCCCGAGACAACCCAATCTAGGCATCGAAATCCCTCACTCCTCCATCGCAGCCTCGCTTCCACAATTATAGCCATATGCCTACTACTTCGTCTGGCACTTCCTTATATCAAGCTCTTCATTGCAGCTGCCTCCAGCTACGATCGCACACACCATGTCAGGGAGAGAATATTTGCCTTCAGCGTCACTGCTGCAGATTTTCTTGGAAGGAGGAGCATGGCATTGGCCAGCACAGCTATGACCAATGAAGTCGTCTGGGGAGCAGTGAAATATTGGGTGGATGGAATACGTGGTGGCTTGAACGAAGGGCTCGGCGAGGGGTTGAAGGTCATTGAAGCTCAAAACGAACCTTGAGAAGCACTCTCAAACCATGCGCATGGCCACAACCTCTTTGAGTCTTAGGCTTCGTCCATATATTCAATACTATTGGCGCTCAATGCCTTCCAGCTTTTGAGCTCCTCCCAAACAGAAGAAATGAAGAAAACGTCTCTACAAGGGCATCACCGGACCCTTCTCGCACAATTCGCAGCAGCTTCGGTGACGAAGCGCTAGCTGTACTCCGAAGACACGGTACCCTCCGTCACAGCGTCACAAGGCCTGGTGCCAGGAATCGGCACTACCATCATCAGGAAATGTTACTAACGCAGGCGTCACAGCCTCGCCTGGCCTTACTCCTGCCCAGGATTGCGGATTTATCAGACGCCGGCCAGGCATGCTTCTGTCTACTTTATCGAGTATCTTGTGTACGGGGCCTCAGAAATAATGATTGAGCTCGTCTCGCTGAGACTTGTGTGACAAAACAGGACTTGCCGCTATGCTTCTACCTCAGACTCTAAAGCCGAAGGCTTCAAGTAAAAGGTGTGGAACTGGGCATTGCACTATCCGTGCATAAGATGGGGAAGAGCTCGATCAGGGTGTAGTATTCCATGATTGAGAGATTTTGTAACCTTGAATGAAGATCTTGAGCTCAATTCAGCTCTCCTAATCCACCAATTGAATTTTGAAATAGAGGTATCCATTGCGCTTCTGGTTAGTGACAGTGGCGTTAGCTCGGCTTCGTTGCCTACAAATCCCCCATCGTTCCCAAAGTTTTCTTTCCCTCAATGCCACCATCTTCAAGATCTTATCTTCTCACCCGTTCCTACCAAGAGCTGAAGCTCTAAGAGGCTCTTCGGTCATCTATTCTACATCTTCTTCGGGATACGTTACATTTCGTTTCAAAGTTCAATGGCGACGATTGTCATCTGATCATCTGACTTTTCCAAATCAAGGCACCAAGTATTCATCTCCGTTGCCCGGCATCTCCAGCTTGAACGGTGTCTTTCATATACATTTATATACCTTGGGTCTTCTGATGAGCCACGAAGAATTACCGTTTACCTATGGTTCGAATCCTCTTTGCTCGCCTCAAATGATTCAGATTTCCAACCTTGCCTCCCAACCGTCCTTTACCATCCTCGCACGTCCAAGTCATTCCACTTGCCCGGCGTTTGCCACTGTCTCTAACACTATCTCTCTGTATCTCAGCCTGGCTCATCGAATTTGCGTGGTGGACAAGGCCTGTCTTCCACCATCCGGAATGTCTTCCGCTCATAGTAGCACGAGTGATATAGCTCGTTGATGGAAGGACTTAATAGCGGGAATAACTACGTTTTACAAGGACAAAGACGATGTGAGCGTTCACGTTTGTTCGTTACGCTGTCCGTCATACTAACGACAGACAGAGCGACTTCTGGAGTGAGTTAGCTTCGAACGGAGTAACGCCGACCGAGGCGAGCAGCGTCAATTCCACCATACCATACTATCGTTGCTAATGTTTGGAAGGCTCCAACTAAAGTACCGCTTGTTGCCGTCACCAGGGATGTCTTTCCTGCTGAAAATAATGGACACCATGGATCTTCTGTCAGTATTGGCAGACGTGATATCCTATTTGTTCCCAGTTTAATCTATTGACCCCCTACAGCCATCTGATGAACCACCCGCTGCCAATGTTCCCATTGAAAAGGCTCCACCAAGCAAATCTGCCGCTCGCTTTGACGACACGCCGTCCCCTATGCGCGCCGATGGCAACAGCACCAATGTCAAGCCTCTGATCAGTCCCGAAGAAGTACCCCACGCTGATACGATTACTCCTCAGGATGTACGCCCTGCTTCTACAGATCCAACCCGAGAGGTACCCCGTGGCCCTATCACTGCACCTCGGCATGTACGTTCTGGTACTACGGTTCCAGGTCAGACAGCATCTCGGGATACCGTGAATCCAACTCAGGATGTACGCTCTGGTGCTAAGGCGTCACCTAAGGCCGGCGTCCATGTGAAACCAACAAATTTCAAGAACCGTCAAACGCAAAACGCTGGAGGACTGAAATCTTTCTTTGGTCGTGGAAGGTTCCCCAAGGAAAAACCCCGCGATGCTATATGTGCATTTGAGGGAGTTCTATTGGGTACTCTGGCTCTTCCTAAGGCCAGTTTCGCCGCGGGTCTACCGTCAGCATCCGACGGGACGGCCACTACCCTGACGTGAGAAAGGTCTATTGAGGAAGGAGAATTGACTGAGCCTCGACCGCTAGCACTTTTTCCAATCGTCCGTACTACCCAAAGCTTCGTCCCTCCCTCGGATTCAGATCAGTCGAACTCAGGTGAGCACTTGAGCACCAAGCCCGTAACGCATGTGCTGATAAGGTACAGCATCGATCGGTGAGGCCAAACGCAGGTGGCACGAAACAGAACGAAAGAGAGCAAAGGGCGAAAGCACCTAGACTCGACGCGACTGGTCATGACGAGAAGGCCATGCGCACCAATGCCCGGAAACTCGTTGATGACCCTCGCGCGCCAAAACCTCTACATGACCCAGCTACCATGACGCCGGGCCAGCTATTCAGGCATCTCCATCGCGAAAGGACCCATGCTGGAGTCGCGATTAAACGCAAAGTTTCTATCATCATCAGCTCAAGTCTGAAATCTCAGCCCGCTCTCGAGTTTAAGGTCAAGCCTGCTCAAAAAGCCAAGCCCGCTGCATGTTTGTCTCGTTTCTCGTCCCCCTCACCCAAAGGTCGCATAGAAAGAAGAAGAACGACAGTGGTCTCTAATTCTTCACCTGATGGTGACGAGGATGCCAATTCTCTCGCACTGTCGGCGAACATATCGAAATTTTCTTATCTCCAGAGTCCGACGTTCAAGGACCAATGTGTATGCTACGGGATGGTTCGTGCCAAAAGCAATCTACAAGCTAGTTGGCTCGCTCGCGGTACCTCAGCATTAGCAAAGAGTGCCCGAGAAGTCACTACCCCGCTCGACATCTGCCAAATCTATTCCTGAGCCAAAAACCCCACGAGAAAAGAGCACATCATAGCCGTCCAAAAGCAGCAGAGATCAAGGAGCCGAGTTCTTGAGAACTCCACAGACTGTGTGTATTGGAAGCTTGGATGCATCAGAGGGAAGCGGATCGTTTTTGACACAGAAAGACAGCGTTTCAAAGGTGGAGGGGACCCGAGATACCTTTTACATCATAGGCTGTATTAATTTTTGATGTCATAACGCAAGAGCAAGATGGTTGGTTGGAGACGATAGGCGCCGTTGGACTGGAGGTCGTACTATCGTGATGGGGAGGGACGGCCTGGAACGTGATCCGACCCATCGACAGACCGGCGGGTAGACATTGGACGGCGCGAGCTTCGACGACCATAACAACGTGGACCGAATCGGCGGGCTATGGGCCACTACGGCAGAGGAGAAGACCGGTTTTGAGCGCAGAAGTCATGCGAGCGAGGCGAAGCGTGGACGAGCTCGACGGGCAACTGACCGCTAAGGCAGAGGAGAAGTTGTTCGAGAGCAGAAGTCTTGGAAGGGAAGCAGAAGGTGGATGAGCTGGATAGGCGCGTGGAGCCTTATGGCTAGTTCTTTTGCGTTTTGGTTAGCCTACTCGCTTGAATGGATTTCGTCGCAGCTAGTAATTTTACCTCTACAAACCACGAAGAAGATCACCTTCAATGCGGGCCAACTTGAACCTCCCAAAACACCCTAATTACGAAGCATGAAGCGATTTTTTTTTCAAAAAGACTGGAGCCAGGATAAGCAGCCACTGGACAAGGTGACTGAGATGATCCAAAGTACCACAGTATCAACCCAGGAAGACAAGCCAATGATCAACACGCAGGCATGGACCCCTAGGGAAAAGAAATCCGCGAAAACAATGCACGAGACGATGAGCGTGCTGGGATCTCTCCAAGTTTGGATGAAATCTTTTTTGAAAGACGCTATGCCTCGACCAATGGTGGAGTGAAGTAGATTCTAGCCAAACCGTGCCAATCAAGAAATGAAACCATCTCCTCGTGCCACATTCACGCTCGATCAAACAGCTAACGTAGCAACAGGACTGAAGCCTCTGAGGATATAAGTCCACCATCATCCGATCACGCAGACTACATCGGAAAAGACCCCCCTGTGAGTAGTCCTACCATTAACGCCTTTCACACTTACAGAAATCGAACCAGAGCGGTGGAATACCGGCTCCCAAACAACGATTGCGAGGAGCAATCCCCATCATATAGCAATTGCACCTTGGAAAGGAGTGTTGCATAAGCAAGCATATGGCGTGGCGGCCTAGTGGGGACGATGCTGAGGATGGAAAAAGACGATCAAGCAGCTGACGCCTTGACCGTAGCCCTGCTTCAAAATCCGCCGGCGTCCGCTTTGATATCCGTGGTCGCAATCGTGGTAGCATCTTGGGCGAACCCCGTAAGCAGACGTGCCTCCGCGGCCGTCATACCCGGTGCCGCCGCGGGTGCAGGCATAGGGCTCGCCGACTGCGGAGGGAAATATTCCATCTCATGCCCCGGCGGTGGCGAGTATACCATCTGGGGCTGCGGTGTCGGCTGGGCTGCTGCAGCGGGGGTGGACGGGGCGCGGGCGGCTGACTCCTTGTCTTCTTGCACGAGCGCACAGCAGCAGCAACAGCATGAGGAGGAGCAGCAATCGTCGCTCCACGTTCCCTGGATCTGGTACTGCGCGCGCATGTTGCTCCGGTTGGTGAACTGGTAGATTCCCTGGAGACAGCAGAGAGATAGGACGGCGTAGCCCATGCACTGAAAACCGAGACGTTAGCGGATGTATGTATCTCTTGTGGTTTTATGGGGTTCCACGCGTTGGGTATGGTGACCTACGGGACCATTGCAATTGGATGGAGTTTTGCCTGCTCGACGGGCTTTGATGTTGCCAAAGGTCATGCACGGACATATGAACGCTTTGCAACCTAAAGTGCGGGTCCCATCAGTACTGTCCGTCTGACGGTTTACTTCATTTCATTGATACTGACATGTTCCGCATGGACTGCAGCAATCATCTCGAGGGTGTATCCAGCCAGCCATTCTCCCTTGCGTTTCGACTGTATGTCTTTGCAATGGATTGGAAACAGCTATTATATCCGCAAAGATGAGCCAAAGAGAAAACGGCCAAGGTTGGAGAAGAGCTCAAACGCAGCAGAAGTAGGCATTGTTGCATAAAGTGACGAACAAGAATTTTAAGTACCGTGCTACGGTCCATAATCAAGTCACACACTCGGCTCCGCGATGTCCGAGTAGCGAGAAAAGTGCGAGGCACGATCAAGGTTATTGGCTCGCACCGCTGCCATGGGATAAAAGTTCATTGAAAGCTGAAACTCGCCGTCACAGTACAGTGATGGGGGGGGTTGGGACCAATGGACATGGTCAACAACCACTGCCAGGGCCCAGGCCCACCCCGCTTATCATCTGTATGGTATCATTGTTCCTCAATAGGCCTACTCAGGGACGGGGCTAAGCTCTAGCCACCACAACGTCTTAAGGTTATTTTGCACTGCAGGTTTCGTTGCAGGCGGGGACATTTTATTCACAATAAAGCCAATCAAGTAAGGGGGCCTAGAAACTGGGCACACAGAGGCTTACGACATACCGCCAGGCGCCGTCCACTGGTTTCCGTGATCCATTCATATAAACCTCCCGATATGCGAGTTGATAGGCTTGCGATTGGCGAATCCATCTGACTGATATCGACTGATGCGCAAGCCATGCATGCTGCATGCACCTCGCCATCATGCGAGTCGATCAATCCGCCTAAGGTTACATCTTGCCCCGTGGGGTTAGTTTCAGTCAGATTTGATTGTCGAAAAAGTTGGAAGATGAGACTGGGGAACAGGAAGATGAGGCTGTGGATGATTGAAAGATTCTCCCACGTCAATAAGCTTTCAGATGATCATGTTGGCCCTGATCCCGATCATTCAGACTCATAGAACAATGATGACAGTAAAAAAAGACAGTATCTAGCTAAGTTATACAACCGAAGTCTTTGATCATTGGGGATGAATCGGGCCCTACAATAGATTAGCGTATCCTGGGGGTCATGTTGGTAATCCGAGCCCTACTTGGAGCAGTTTCCATGTTAGGCTACTGGCTCGCATGCGGCTATGAAACAGGAAACCATTGAAAGCTGAAAGCTCGAAGCAAGCATGCCATCGCTGGAACAGGGAAGATTGCGGCAGATGGGCTTCAGCCACCACAAACATGTTGGCATTAACGTTTCGACACGTCAGACCATGACATTGTTAGCACGGTACACTTACACAATAGTACATACACCTCCAAGATTAAGAAAGCTCTGGGTTTTTCCCTGTTTCTTAGGATAATAAGAGGCGATGACAGTGAAGAAAGAAGGATTGAAGCGGAAGGTTTGAGGTTTGGGGATGAGGCTCCGCGGTTCCTTGGCAGGGTGCATCTACTCTATCCCGCTATCACATCGTCAGTAGGGTGGCACGAGTAAGGGGCAATATGGGTAGAAGAGGGTCTGTTGTATTGTGTAGGTGTCTAAGTGCTATTTGGCTATGGAATTATTTCGTGTCACAACGCTAGCTGCAAATGTACTAGCATGATAATCGGCACACCCAAGTTTTACCTAGTGGGGGGGGCCGCCCACCGGATGAGTTGGAAGGTGCAGCCGGCTGCAGGCTAGCTATATGTGGTATAGGTGCTTGGCGATGGGGTTATACCTGCAGGAGGCTTCCATAGAATACATTATCCTTGCTACCCACTCCGACAGCTACCATAACTCTGGATGCTCCACGGCCTCTTCCACAGAGTCCTCCACAGTCTTCTTCTTTTTTGCATTCCGTGATTGAGGCAACATACATTTCACTAGTCATCCCATCAGATCTCATGATGACCGATAGAACATCTCTCTCTCGAGTGCCCGGATCAATGAGACCGCAAAGTCCGCGATCAAATCTAACCTCGCCTTAGGATATTAGATTCGCGCCCTGGGCAAGCCTACTCTGCATAGCTTTTAGCATAGGGAATTGAGTACGTTAAGGATGCACCTGAAAGAGCTGCTGTCTCAGATTAGAGAGAAGAGAAGTCCACGTTCGCGGGGCCAACCAGGTCGAAGTGTACGCCGTACACTAGAGATGGCTGAGCCACGTGGCTGTGCCTAAGATTATTGATCAGGCTGAGCGCCACAATGCTTCAGGGCTCCAATTCCTCAATCAATGTGGAAAACAGTACAGACAGAGGCATTATGCGGCTGTTCTCTTACGTGCTCTCAGTCCTTCCTCCGCAACAATGACACCCGCGTTCGGCTTCTCAGTGGGGGATCTCATCAGCGCCATAGGTACGATCCCCTGCCACCGCTGTCCTGTCAATGGAGGAACGCTGATCTATGTGTGCTCGAAGGTCTCGTGAAAAGAGTCACCAAGGCGTTGAAGGAGACAGGAGGAGCTCCCACGGATTATCAATTAGTGGTCATCGAGCTCAAGGGTCTGAAGAGCATACTGCGACACCTCGAGACATTGAAGCCCACCAAAGATAATGTCACCCACATCAACGCCACTGGCGGCATGGCTCTTGCGTGTCAGCTGCCTCTGCGAGGCTTCATGGTCAAGCTTGAAAAATTCGACTCTACACTGAGGCCATATGCGGACAAAAGATCGCTTGAGCGATGGTGAGGAAGTCGAGCGTTTACGGGCCATGGTTGCAGCAAAACCCATCAGCCTCAATCTCTTGCTCGCCATGAACACGTCCTAAGGCTCCACTGTTGTTGGGGTTTTAGTTCTTGGTTTGGAGTTATAGCAGTTCCGTCGAACGGTGTTGGCGAGGGTTAGGTTTGAATCCCCACCCCACTTTTTTTTTGGGGGAAAAATTTTTTTAATAGGGGGGTGTTGGGGGTATTTAGTTCGTATTAGGTTCGATTCCTAATGGCGCTGGTACAATGGTGTTGCGGTGCTTTTTATTTTCCTCCACCAGAAGTGACAGACAGCCAAAGCTCACGGAAGATGATAGGCGAACGCTCACACACATGGGTTCCCGGCACCAAGAGAAGCACAGCGACCTGATGTCAATGGCTGCCGAGCATCGAGCTGCGTTGCACAAAGTGCAGATGTAGTGTCGTACTCAGATGATACCTTTAATTACGAGCAATGCTCAAGAAATCGAGGTACGCGGGCAGACTGCCCTATGGCAGAAGGAATCTTCAACCACCACCAGAGACGGCTGTGAACGCACAGGCAGGTGTCTTGTCACCCACTGTTAACAGAACAGTCAGAGCGTAGACGAGCGTTTCTAACGTGCTGTGAGGTACGGAACACATCACCTTGATCTGCATTTGCGCTTCAATTCCATTGGCTTACAATCTCCATCCACAGATACCGGGCGTTCAAGATCCGCCTTCCGCCAACTCAAGGCCCTGGCGCCTCAACACGAGGCTCTAGAGATCTTGGTGATCGAGTTGCAGTTCGAGGATGGCAGTCCGTTAATTCATCATTTTCCGATGCAGCATGTCGCAGACCACCACTGGCTTCTTGGTTGTTGCGAAGTCTGAGAAAAGTGGAAGCTTCATCATCCCAAGGGGCTCTGATATATAACAGAGTAAGTGTAAACATCAAAGTCTCCTCACTCTATTGGATTATGATTTTCGCTGACACTAGATTCAAGCACCCCAACGGTCGCGATTGGCCTTTTCCAATTAGAATGTGGTTTTGAAACCCAAAGACCCTCCTTGCTACTCTTGAAGCCGAGCATGTTCCCGAGCTTTGAGATCGAGGCCAATCACCTGCTTTCCATCTCATGAAGCTCGACTTTGCTGAAGTCCAGAACTCTCGGGTCATCTTCGCTGACTTCGATACTGACAGTCTAGATACCATGGACCTGGCGAATTAACGCTGCTGTGGGTCTTAACATTCTCACTTGTCAAGGGTTTGCAGGTTTGGTTCAACTTTGTTTTCATTTGTGTATCTGTCGATATATATACCTTTCGAGTGTACGTTTGGGAGGTAATCAATTCTTCAGACCTTTGACTCGGCTTTTTTGGAAACAAAGCATGGGATCTGTAGCGACAAGCGAAGCGAGCCAACGAGGTCGGATCGATACCAAATCATCATTACAGAATTTGCCCACCCTATCCAGTTCAACTATGCTGAGAAGGAAACAGCGCCGTGTCATTGTGTTAGGAGCAGCCCCTACGGGAGCCCTGCGACAGCCCTGCGACAGCCCTACGGGGCCCTACAGAGGCCCTACGGGCAGGTATTTAGGTCCAAATAGGGGTGTCTGGCTGTCAAGCGCAGACACCCCCGGAACCAAGCTTTTTAGCTGAGTTGCTAACACATTGATGTAAAGATACGATTAAGCTAACATTTATTCTACTTTTTACATCGTTAGATTATTAGAAAATAATAGATAACTTAATTATAATTTAATATATAATATAAAAGATATTTATTATTCTATATATCTACGAGTAAAGGCCTAGAAATTAAATTCATAATTATTTTTTTAATTAGGACTGTCGAGTAAATTTGATAAGCGATCTTTAATAAGTGATATTTGAATTCTATTATCTTTACTCGTATTATAGAGTACAAGTAAAGGCCCATGAATTAAATTCATGGAGTTGGATTTTTCTAAGTCAAATCGAATTTTAGCCCTAGCCCTAAGTCAAATCGAACTCTGATCGCTTGCTGTGCGTTTTTGACCTACTTCCACCACTATAAAATTGATTTACGCTATCTATGTGATATATAGACACATATGTGTGGAGAGAGGCGCGCTAAGGCCTAATTAGGAAGGTGTATCGAGTGTGGAGGATTAATCCGTAATAATCGCCCATAAAAAACAGAGAAAGGCCATATTCTTATGGCAAGAAGTATCGAAATACCGGAAAGAAATGGAGACAACGTGTCAATTAGTGGTGTGAATCCCACAATATCTCCTGCCGCAATGAAATCTTTCGAATAATGAAATAGCTGTAGACATCGGACGGTTTCAATTCGTCCAAATATACATCGTCCGATGTTCCTCCTGCAGAGGCTCAATTGGCTGTGATCATCGCAGTAGATCCTCCTCTTGTGAGCGAAATACCGGAAAGAAATGGAGACAACGTGCCAATTAGTGGTGTGAATCCCACAATATCTCCTGCCGCAGTGAAATCTTTCGAATAATGAAATAGCTATAGATATCGGACGGTTTCAATTCGTCCAAATATGCATCGTTCGATGTTCCTCCTGCAGAGGCCTAATTAGCTGTGATCGTCGCAGTAGATCCTCCTCTTGTGACGTTATTGCAGTGATGTACCATATTAATGCAGTGGGGATGACAGGCCAAGTTGCAGTGGTGTTCTCCGCTTGCTGAGTGATGATTTGATGTGGAACCGTGGAGAGCATATGACGTGGGATCTTGGAGAGCTGAGCCGTGTTCTTGACGATGGTGGCCTTGTTGCCGCTTGATTTCTCCGCAGTGTTCTCCGCAGTGTTCTCCGCATTTGCCTGTTGTAGTTCCTCCTCTTACTTTTTAATGCAGTGGGGATGATAGGCTAAGTTGCAGTGATGTTCTCCGCTTGCTGAGTGATGATTTGATGTGGAACGGCCAAGTTGCAGTGGTGTTCTCCGCTTGCTGAGTGATGATTTGATGTGGAACCGTGGAGAGCATATGACGTGGGATCTTGGAGAGCTGAGCCGTGTTCTTGACGATGGTGGCCTTGTTGCCGCTTGGTTTCTCCGCAGTGTTCTCCGCAGTGTTCTCCGCATTTGCCTGTTGTAGTTCCTCCTCTTACTTTTTAATGCAGTGGGGATGATAGGCTAAGTTGCAGTGATGTTCTCCGCTTGCTGAGTGATGATTTGATGTGGAACGGCCAAGTTGCAGTGGTGTTCTCCGCTTACTGAGTGATGATTTGATGTGAAACCGTGGAGAGCATATGACGTGGGATCTTGGAGAGCTGAGCCGTGTTCTTGGTGCTGGGGGCCTTGTTGCCGCTTGGTTTTCCGCAGTGTTCTCCGCATTTGCCTGTTGTAGTTCCTCCTCTTGCTCCTCTTCTTATAGAGTATCAGACTGAGTGGCTAGCTGAGTGGCTGACTGAGTGGATGACTGATATGACGTGGGATCTTGGAGAGCTGAGCCGTGTTCTTGACGATGGTGGCCTTGTTGCCGCTTGGTTTCTCCGCAGTGTTCTCCGCATTTGCCTGTTGTAGTTCCTCCTCTTGCTCCTCAATGTAGTGGGGATGACAGGCCAAGTTGCAGTGGTGTTCTCCGCTTGCTGAGTGATGATCTTGGAGAGCTGAGCCGTGTTCTTGACGATGGTGGCCTTGTTGCCGCTTGGTTTCTCCGCAGTGTTCTCCGCATTTGCCTATTGTAGTTCCTCCTCTTACTCCTCAATGTAGTAGGGATGACAGGCCAAGTTATAGTGGTGTTCTCCGCTTACTAAGTGATGATTTGATGTGGAATCGTGGAGAGTATATGACGTTCGAACGCGTTTGATGTGACTACAATATTTGAATATTAGTTTAACCCCTCTACCGCTAGCTTGAGAGGAGTATGTAGGGGAGGACGTATCCGTTCGGGCTCTTTTTGAGGGCCTTTCAACGCGTTTATGAGTAGTAGTAGGTAGCTGTTAGGCTCGCTTGCGGCCTCGATTGCTAGCAGTAGCGGATTCGCCGAGGGGTGGCTTGAGGGCGTCAGTAAGGGGCTCTAATTGGGCGAGGGGTACCGAAGACGATTGTGTTCATATTGGTGGAATTGGTAGAATTGGTAGAATTGGTAGAATTGGTAGAATAATGGAAGAATAACAAACAGATGGAAGGATTATTATCCGATCCCGGACGCGTCTGGTATGACTACCATGACTACCATATTTGAATGTTCATTTAATTCACCAATAGTAGGCTAAACTTCATTATTTTTACAGCGTTAGAAAGCGCACACCGAGTTCTACAATTTACGAAATTATGAAGAAACAGCATCCGTAGGGAGCTGGTTATTTCAGAGTGTAAAACTTCTACACACAAATTTTTGATGAGGGAGCTCGGGAGGGCTAGCGGGCTGACTCAGTCAGTCTAGCCAAAAGGCGTAATAACCCCGAATTGATGATTGGCTGCACATACAAATTCAAGGTTTCCAAGCTCAGCCCTACCTTATTCTTTTATATATACTGATATTTCATTATCGTCGATCTTAAAAACTCTTTTCTAGAGCTCTAGCGTACTTATAATTTATACTTCGTATACTATAGCTATACTCTAATAATTGTAGTAAGATATTTCTATATAATACTCTCGCGACGATTTTTTAGAAATATAAAAATAGAGTCTTAGGCTCCGTAGAGGCATAACTCTAGCGAGTACGCTCGAAAGACTATGAATTGAACTAATTTTTTCTTTTTAGCCTAATATAGTACCCGACGGTGTCGAGATAGTATCCGGATAATACTTAATACTCGAAGTTACCGAATCCACTCGGGGGTTGCGAAGTCAGTCCGAGGGTTGCGGGATCAGCCCGGGGCCGGCCCCGGGCGCCCCGAGCGCACCCGGAAATTCGAATCCGGCGGGCCGACCTCCCGAATTGTAATTGGAATCACATTATAGTAATAAGGATTAAAATAATAGGAACTTATATAGTCTCTTTCTTCTCGAGTAGAATATCGATGAGTTTAACAATTATCAGACATAAGATATATCATGAATAACTCCGGCTTGCATAACCCAGAACGCCTCAGCAGCTATATCTCGCTTCCCGCCTCTTTGGTCCAATCTTCGTCCTCCGCCAACAGACCTCCTTGTGTATGCGCGAATGATGGAAACAACTTGGCCACAAGTTCTTCCCGGAGATCTGATCCAAGTTTAGGTGACCATGCTCCGCCAGAGAACACATAAGGCGATCCAGGATTAGCCCACCCATGAGCCTCGCGTTCCCAGTCCAGGTCGGACGGCCCTTGCTCGGCTGCTCTCCGACCCATGCTCCAGATTCGGATCTTGTCCAGGGCGCCTGCTCGCAAATCTGCCCACAGATCGCTCCGATTCTCATAGTCGTAATAAACATCATACAGTGCAAGCTGGCGGAGGCTGGCCTTGTGACGTTGGATCAGTGCGGCGAGGCCGCCGAAATCGAAGTTGTCGACAGATTTGATGGAAAAATAGGTGAGATGGGGCCATGTGATGCTGTTGCCGAACGCATTTTCCAATCGGTCTTCTGTGCCAAGGTATGTAGATCGAAAACGCAGGCTTTCAAGTTTTGGCATCGTCTGTAGAAAGCTTATGATTGTGCCGGAGGACATGAGGTCCTGAACTTCATCAAGATCGGCCAATTTTAGGTAAAAATTGAAATGTTTAGTGCCGGTCATGAGTGTCTCGACCACGGCTTTCTCCTTGGGATCCTTGATTTCCATGACTATTTTGCTCAAGTCTCGAAATAGAGGCCCAGCGTCGATATGAGCCCCAGAGGAAGCCCTTCCGTAAGCTATTGCCCTCAGAATCATTGTGCCCTGGTCCATGTCGAAGTTTGTCTGACAGGATCCTGTCTTCCATACTCTATCTATAATGTCATCTCTTGGCGAAATATCCAGCCTCTTGAAGTGCCAATTCCAACCGGGCTTAGGTTCAAAGTCATTTGGTGGAATGTCCTGTCTTCTGCGAGTCCAGTCCCATGATAGACCGGATTCAACCCGTTTGAGCTGTGGGAGACGGCCAACGGCGGCTTGCAAAATACCTTCAGCCGTAGAGAAGAGCTTTTGCTGCTCGGCGTGAAGCGACGAGTATTCTTTATAATGGAACTTGATTGCCTTTCGAGAGATTTTAGCGCAATCCGGCATGACCAAAGGTCCTGCGTAATCCTGGCCAACGTACAAGACCAGTGGATTGTCGATCAGCGTCCTTTCTCCTCGAAGCCATTGTCCAAATTCTTTTTTCTGGAGGAGTGGGCCAGAGATGGCTTTTGGCACGATGTGCAGCACTCGAACATGTTTCCTGTAGGTATGCTGCGAGATATCCTCGAGCTTTGCGTGGCTCTCTTCTGTGAAGTGTAACAGGACCTCTTCGAACACAAACTCTGCGGTCATCAAAGCGAGCTTTTTGTTGCATAGTCGTAACGATTTCAAGGTCGCGAGCCGATTAATTGTCATTCCGGGCTCCGTGTCTAAATCTTCCCTCTTGCCTTTCGTGGGCATATTGGCACATAGCTTGCGTACCAACGTCAAAAGCTGAAATTTGCGAAACGCAGCTAGTCGATTCTGCAGCCTTCGTTGCATGTTCTTTGTTGACTCCACGATTGAAGACGAGTGTCTCCGACTGCTGGTTGTATGCGACTGGACTTGGGAGTTGGAGACTGATTGCAAGGTTCCTACGTCAGCAGTGGTGGACGGACTGCAGTCTCTGTCGGGTGCACAAAGCGAGTCTTCTTCCTCGTCGTCAATCATGGAGACGATGAGGCGGTAGACTTCTAGCGGGATTCGGTCCATCCTAGTGTTCTTCAAGCTTCAAAAAAATGCCTACGCCGTCAGTGTGCTTCCCAGGATGCGGAGACGACAGTCATGCGGGGTTCCAAATTCTGTGTGAAAGGCTATGAGGCCCTTCAGCCTTGGGGGTCTACTCCCCGCGAGGCTGCTTATTCCCTCCGTAAAGGTGCAGGATACGATGCAGGGTCTGACCAAAGAAACCTAGTACCATGCCTAGCCGCATGAGAAGGGCTGAGGTGGGGACGGCGCTTCGACTACCCCCACGCTGGAGAGCAGTGTGCTGAACTCCAGTATCGTTGTCCAGCTTAGCGATTTGATCGGATAAATCCATGTCTCAAAATAAATCATGAGATCTTGCAGAGGATAAATGATGAGTGAAGGATGTAGGAGTGGAGGCAAGAGGTTGGAGAAGGCTGGTGCAAGATGTCTTGCGCTAGGCCAAATCTGGATGGACCCCACTTCTTTTATAGTGAATTTGTGGAGTTCTTATCATCATGCGTGAGATCATTTTGGTGTTGACTGTATACACATAAATGGAAAGGCAAACGAAGCCATTTTAGATATCGTTATGACTTCCCTGCTTGTCGGAAACCCCGGCTGTGCAGTCAGCATTATAGTTCCTAGACCCTCCAACGCAATGAGTTGTCGTTGGCCTACTTCAACAACATTGTCTTATCATTCATTATAATCCAACACTGAGACAATCATCGAGGCAGTCATCACCTGGGCCATCCCACTCATAGAAAACAGGAAATATGCCTCCGACCGTAGTTCCTAATCGGGCAAATGACAATTCATACCCCAAAACCTTAAATACATCAGACGAAAGCCTGAGTACGTTTTAGCAGTAGCCCCAATGGGGCCATGAATCGGTAATTTAGGGCCCCTTTCGACCAGGGGGTCAACCACGCTATTTCGAATTTTTGAAAATCGTAAAATCGCAAAATCATTTAGCGCAGACACCCCCGGGACCAGGCTTTTTCGATCTATCAGAACGCAAGCCATGGCTCTATAACACTCATTTGTGATTCACTAAATAGTGGCCTTCTTGAAAGAAGACTTGCAATTAACAGTGGCCTAAATTTGTGATTATCCCCCAGCCTATCTATCACCCAGTCTGTGAGTCTGCTCAGGTACACAGTCTTACACCTCCCAATGAGTCTACACTGCCAATATTAAGTCAATTTATCTGATATCATACCCTAAACTAATTATAATCCTATAATCGACACTCTTCATACCCTAAATTAATTGTTTGTGTAGGAGCAATGATGTGGATCAGCTAATATTGGGAAATGGAATTGGTAAATGGAAAATTCATGGATGGATTTTCGGTGGTATGACCCCTGGTCGGTAATTAGCCCCCCACTTCTTTTATAGTGAATTTGTGGAGTTCTTATCATCATGCGTGAGATCATTTTGGTGTTGACTGTATACACATAAATGGAAAGGCAAACGAAGCCATTTTAGATATCGTTATGACTTCCCTGCTTGTCGGAAACCCCGGCTGTGCAGTCAGCATTATAGTTCCTAGACCCTCCAACGCAATGAGTTGTCGTTGGCCTACTTCAACAACATTGTCTTATCATTCATTATAATCCAACACTGAGACAATCATCGAGGCAGTCATCACCTTTGCTCGCACTCATACATCAGATATGCCTGCGTGTGAGGCTCGCTAATCAGGTTCATAAAAACTGGCTCGGCCTCCTCTTGCTCGATGAGCTCGACCGTGAGACCAACGCATTTGGAGCGGAAATGAGGAGTCCTTGACTATGCCATCGGCATCTATTTCTTCACGTGTCTCTAGCGCGACCTCCAGGGAAGCAGAGCTGGCGGCAACGAAAGTCTCGCTCCAAGGTCCATGCGCTGATACCTGCAGACTCCGCCCTCGATGTAGTGCGGAAGCACACCGAGTACAGGGTGTGTCCACCTCCCGCCAGTCTTGATAAGACACTGTGCCGCAGGCGGTGCTGGAGAGGACGCTGCGCTCTCAACCGTGTGGCTTTTGATAACGATCCTCCCGCAGAAGGTGCATTGCCAGCAGACAGACGCAGTTTCTGGTACACTGCAGGAGTGCAGGGCGGTACGGCGCTTGGCGCAGTGGCTGCTGCTCATAATGTATGTCTTCTAGGCTTCACGGCCTGTGGTTCTTTGAGCGAAACGGATTCTGGTGATTGGTTTTCGTTGGATGGTGGAATGGAAGAGCTTATACTGGCGGATTGAAGCTTTGTGAATTGGGCCTGGGATTGGGCCTGGGATTGGGCTTGGAGGTTGACAATAGGAGGATATTGAAGGCCGCTCTGCTCGTTGGAGGACAAAGAGATTTAAGAACGCCCATTGTTCTTACAAAAGGAGACAACAGCCACTGTGGGGGAAAAAGAGCGGGAAGACGCTTAGAACATTTCAAAGGACTGAAAATGAAACTGCTCCAAGCACAGCGGTGGAATATCATTGTGAGGCAGCTTAACCTGGTGAGATCGTGCTCACCTCGTTCACCAAAGTTTATCCCACAGTCACGGTAACCCTGAGATACCAGGTTGGTGCTGTCAATCTCATTGGGGTCAACTACCGGAAGGATTCCCGTGTTCGTCGAGGAGTATGAAGTGCTTCGTGTGGCGTAAAAGCTTTCCCTCTACCTCGGTCTCCTTCAGATATGAAAGCGGGGGAAGGACAGTCACGTTATTCACACGATGATGATCGTTCCTAAGAGCCCATGAAACTGTTGTGTGTCAGTAATACACTTCAATGATGCCCAACATTGGAGGGATTCTAGGTGTACAAGACCTGTTTGGGACATCAGTGCGATATGGCCAATCACTGTCTTGATCTCCCTTCCCCAAGCAACAAGGATCAGAGACGTGTCTATCCTCACGCAATGAACGGTGGAGCACTGTGAGTCGGCTCTCCATGTCACCTTTGAATCACATGTCGTAGGGACTCAACGCTTGAGTTTTGTATCAGCCCCTACCAAGGTCTTGAAGCGGACTCGGAGATACAGTCCTCAGTACCCTGACATCAGGACTTTCCGTTGCTCAATAATTGGTACGCAACATGCCGTATTGGCCATGAGTAAATGGTTTCCTTGTCGATATCATCACCATGGTTTTTGCATACTTTATAAGGTAGGTCTCAGATACAAGTCATCGACTCATGAACCATGTGGCTTCCACCAAGAAGAAACTTGACTTCCAAACGAGGAGGAGCGCTTCGCTGCTCTAGGGTCTGACTCTATCGCCTCCTGTATAGCATCATGGAATGTGGTATGGCAGGCCGGCAGTCCAAGTCCGGCTGACGACGCTAATGCATGTCTAGAGGTGGTCGTGTTTGAAGGCCTTTTTCAGGGATGGGCGTAGATCGCGTATCGTCCAACGGTGACTCATGTGAGGGTTGCATCGTAGAGGACCTGTTGGCGTGCAGGGAGTTCCAGCGACTAGACGACGTAACAAGAGTCTCATCGTCTGACCATTGCCGCTGTTTGCCTTTACCCGTTGTTTTGGAGCGAACAGGTAGCGCGGGGTTGGTGTCTTGACCGTCTTTGGCTCGATGTTGAGCCTCCATTTTCGTATGATCCAAGCATTTATCGATTGCGCTGAGGAGTAATTTCTCGTAGATTGTCTCTGTCAAATCGAGCTCGGTCTTGCATTTGATTGTGTCGACCATCTGAAATAATTTAGAAAGAGGGTCTAATCGAGGTGTGGATTGCTTACATCACGATAAATTTTGTGTCTGCCTTTGAGTTGATCATCCAGCTATTCAAAAAATACAGTCGCATCGTGATCGCTTCCAATTTGGCATAGTTTTCTACTAACTCGACCAGGTTCAACATCTACAACGTCTAGCTTCTGCGCTACTTCTATAATCCTCTTGCGAATGAGTCTGAAGGCTGGTTTGTTTTTCTTTGCGTCCACTTGGTCAGATATGTCACTCTCATTCTCGGACTCCGGGTTTTGTTCGCCGTCTGTGAGCACACTAAGGTTGTAGCATCTGAAGTCTGCGGAGAAATCTGCCTTAATTTTTTAAAATAACCTTTTAGGGAAAAAAAAACCCTTTTTTTTTTTTTTTTTTTTATCTTCACGGCAATGTCTGGACCTTTGACATTATCTTGATTGGCTTTTGTGGTATTCAAAAAGTGAACGTCGATTCATTTTTGATCGTACCGGGTGGCCATGACGGTGGAGTAATTTAGTAATTTTTGCACTAGTTCCCACTGTTCACCTCGCATTGGTGGTGAGTCTTCGATCAGAAAGACCTTATTGTAACGCTCGAGAATGCTGGACCGGTCTTCTACTGCATGTCACTCCTCATGTACTGGGGTTGGAGGAGGTGCTGGGATGATTGTCGGACGAGAGCGCGCGTTCCCTAGTGCTATTAGCGTAAGTAAGTTACACGCGACATCGTGCATTCCAGGTTGGTTGTGGGAGACCTGTGATAGGGTTGCTAACATAGGAAAATACAAGTGTTCATGGCCTAGTTCAATCCTAAACGAGTGTAGGAATACGAGTAATTGATTGTATACAATATTACAAATGCATCTTTTCAGCGACTTGAACTATACTGGCAATCACTTGTTCACACACAAGTGCCCTGAAGATGAGAATACAGACTACACTAGCCACATATCATACGATTTTAAGCTCATGGTCGAAAGATATATTCCTAGTCCAGAAGTTGTCCAGATGAGATGCATGGTTAGTTACAAAACACTACGCGGCAAACTAGATTGATCTGTCGATTTTCAAGTCGGCGGCCGCGTACTAGGAAATCCACTACAAGTACACAAGATTCTGTCAAAGTGCCTGATGCTATCCAAAAATTAAATCATGAACCAGCCCTTCAAACCGCAGTTCCTTCTAATAATGACATCCAGCTCTCATACAAGATCGGCATTTTCCTCAGAGGATGATCCGCTCTCAGGTTAGCTTCGTTGAGGTGTGAATTTCCTGAACAGACATCCAGCCTATGCGCCTTTTTCATGCCCCAGTGTACGACCACATTATACAAAACAAGCACTGTCACTCGAAGGTTGACGACTACCCAATAATACGCACTTTACGCCTGTTAGACACACAAGTCCTTCCTTACATGAAAATACGAAAACCCGAGCAACGAATTTCGCTAAAAAACAAATAAGACTCTTCAATACGTATCGCAAGGGAATAATTATCCAACTTGTATGAAGATTTTGGGGAAAGATCATGTATGATACGCACTAAGCACTGCCTAACAGATCAACACGACCCTGAATTGCCTCTCTAATCCAGAATACTCAGTTTTAGCACCGCACCGACCTCTCCCATCCACCACGACCCCTTCAGAGCACCAACGCACCAACAATTTGACCCGTCCAGAAATTGCCAAAACAATTCAGCAGCACCCCTGGGATAGTGATGCCTACGTCACCACCCAAAATGAGACCCACAAAGAATTTCAACAAAATAGCCTTCATCAACCCCTTGAAAGAGAAGAGTACCTTTCCACTATCAACGAGACCCGCCCAGAATGCCAGGAAATTGAGCACTGTCACCACAAACACAGGGGCGAATTGCTCACCGCTCAAATGTTTGAAGAGAGCGAGGATGATATTGTCACTCGTGCCGGAACACTCGGGTTGGGTGACTTCAGTGGAGCCAGCGTAGCAGACGGGCTTCTTGGAGGATGAGCCGTACGAGGGGGATGTTTGAGTGTGAGATGGCATGGTGATTGTTTCTGGCTTGTTCTTGGTGGTGCTTGAGGATTTCTTTTCTTTTCTATTTCTTTTTCTGCTTGAAGATTGTTGAGGTTGCTGAGGGATGTCTCTAGAAGAGAGGTCAGGTGGGCAGATACATCGATAAATACTCTCCCGCATATGAAAGAACAAATGCATTCAGGCATAGTGAAAGGCTGTGATAGACATGATCATTGATGCCTAATTTCAAAGAAAAACTCAACAATGATATTCTTCATGTCATGAGGACGCAAATATCATTGCGTTCAACAAAATTGGCCTACTCTTTCTTCAGAACAATGGAAAACCAAGAACATTATCATACAATGCGAATGACATAGCCAGATTTTCGTTTTGACACAAAGCCGATAGAGACACAAGCTTTGTTCACTTAAAACAAGAGGGCCACAAACGATCCACAATCCCATTCTTCACCTCAAGCTCCTCCCTCTTTCCGCTCTCCATTAACACTATACACCTCAGCAGCACAACCTCTCAATCTCCGCCCTCCCTAACCGCACGACCACCTCCACAATCTCCTTTGCGGCAATGGGACCCACAGCACTCAGATCCAAACCTACCGTCCACAACGGTGCCCTCCACAACGTGTACAAATCGCAACGATCCGACCGCTCTCGCCACGACGACGGCCGCCGCTCGCCCGTTTCTCCTATAGAATCGAACGGCGAAACGTGGAAGTACCCACCGCGCGCGCAAGCCCATCTGAAAGGACTGGGGCCTCTTCACGATAAACCCCACGGCGAAGCGCCCAAGGACCACTTCCGCTCCCGCCCAATGTCCTACTACGATGGCCTGCCCGCTTCACCGGAGCCAGATAACAAGGCAGTCTTCGCCGACCTTCCCGCCGCGCCTGCCAAACAGAGGCTATCCCGCCCCTTCGAGCAGCCGTATCCCACGTCTAATCAGGGGCGCCAGGCGCCAGGAAAGGGACAAACCTCCACACCATCCGCTGCCGTACCGATGCACGCTAACTTGTCCCGCGCAGATTCTCGTCTTCGCCGCCAACCGGCCGGATTCTCGCATCCGAAGGCTCCGGCCCCGCTGGCGATTCCGCCGCCGGCCCACCAGTCAAAACGTCAACGCGAGCCGAGCCCCTATCGAGCAGACCAGGCTCCGGCACAGCGTTCCGTCCGTCATCAGGGAAAGCCAGTTTCCGGCCGGCGCCCGGCTCGTCATCAGGGGTGGAATCCGCTCCAGGAGCCAGCTCGTCAAAAAGGTACCGTTTATGTCCAGCGTAAAGATCAGCGTCGCGGTGACGACCTCGAACGGCAAGGGGGGCTCGCTCGCTCGAAGAGTCGGGCGAAAGACAATGATCCTGAGTACAAGTCTGGACGGAGATGTTTCTTCTCTCTTATGGTTATGATGATTATAGTTATTGTTGTCGTTGTCGTTATGGTCGAGAAGAACAAGAGTCGAGGTTGATGGTCGGTGTGGAGGTACTATAATGAGGGTGCTTGTATAGAGTATATAATGTGTCAAAGATCGCAATGCCTTTTCTTTAGATGTTACATGCAATAGGATAGGAGTATATATCAGAAGAAATGGTTTTATGGATCAAACGCTTCGGCTTGAATGTCTTCGAAGTGATAAAAGGACAAGCATCCCCGTCCATATCCTCGACAGATCCTACTCGCCCTGTCGGAGATAAGCTATGGATTATAGATGAGCTGTCAGTCCAGGTAATTTTCTTCCATAGACGAGTGTCCATCGCACTCAACAGATTGAGACAGGGGCTGAACAGCGGGAGAGGGTCATTGTCCGAGTTAACGCCCGTGAACAGCCTCATATGAACGATATCATATATCCCTACCAATTCAAACGGTGGGTCCCCCACGGCATCGGCAGTCAGACACGAGGAAGGCCTGCTAGGTACTGCTTCGTGGGTATGTCACCCAGTGCCACTATCGACTTCAGCAATATTGGTTTCATCCTGGTCTTTGCGTATGAGTCGATGGATGTCGTCTCCGCGTCCGCCAAACCGTCTGCACCTCTCTCAATTCATGCTTTCGAGGATCTCTACAAGCGAAACCAGCACGAGCATGGGCGCCATTGGGTTATACATCAGCATGATCACCCCTGTTGCAGGCGTCCACTACGATCTAAGGCTGCAGATCAATGAGACGAGCTCGATCAGTTGGGCGATTATGTATGGGCTGCCGGGAAACGCTAATAGCAGGAGGTTGAGCAGGAATGCGACAGAGACGAGGGTGCATAACGTCTGGGTATGTGGATAGAGGGGAGCTCATTTCTACGGACTGGATGCTGAGCTTGTCGAAGAACCACCTCATTGAGACTGCTTCCGCGTCTACGGGGAGCCTACTCGTTTGGGATACTGGAGAATACGAGATGCTGCCATATCATGAGAACATCGAGCAGGTGACCGATGACGAGCTGTCAGGCGACTCTGATGGGGATTGCAAACCTTCCTCGAACCTTTCGGACAGTGAAAAGCTTCACGCAGCTTTTCAAAACGTGAGGTGCCTCCTTTGTACATCCACAGCTCCGACGGTGCTAAAGCCAGCTCAGCGCAAGATTCGGGTTCGCCTCCTTGGGACCCGTCTACCACCAAGCTACACCTTGTCCATCCGTCTCCTGAGTTCGGAAAATCGCCATGAACAGCCTGCCAAACCATCCAGGAAACGCCGTAGGAAAGTCTCCACGAATAGGCCTTTAGCACAAGCAACTCCGCCTACCTCTGATCTCGATGACGATGAGGTAGTGCCTGACGCTCACCCTGAATCAATGGACGTATCTTTGTTAGCTTCTGAGCGCGAGATTGCGGAGCAGGAGGATGAGGGAAGTCCGCCTCACCAACACATATCCTGGCGCTACCAACAGCATCGGCTCAATTCATCAACGAAGATGGTACCTTTCAATGGATCGGTACGCTTCTGGCTTTTGTCCGGTGCGGATAGGAAATCGTAGTAAAGGCGGCAGGGGAATGTGGATGAGGAGAAGGGAGGGTGAGAGGCTGCTGGGCTTCGAGCCGTTCTTTGTCATGGGCAGAGAACTGGAGAGAAGTGTGGTGACTGGCAGGACTGCCGATGAGGTAATGGCTGATGAGGGAGTGCAGGGGTTTGTGGGGAGGAAAGGTTGGAGGCCCGTGACTGAGTGAAGCCACCTCGAACCAACGTGGTCACGAACAACTTCGTAATTTAAGCAGCAGTATTGGAACTTTCAATGCGTAAGTCAAAGCCGGCTTTTGCACCAAGGGCCTCAGAAAATTGATCTTGGCCAGGGTGCTTCCCGTCTCCTGCAAAATCTGCGGTTTCTGGAGCCATAGACTCTTACCATTGGCACTGGTTGTCGGCCAGAACCGCCCAACATGATCAACTTTACCGCCGGTGTCAGGGAATGTTTAATTCCGTGGCTTCACTCCTCTGCGAACCATCACCGGACTCTTCGCTGTCCATTACTTTACTCAGGGGCGCTAATGTCAGCTTCATCCGTTGCAGATTACCTCAAGAGTTATACGTTTCACCTTCTTTCATTTACGCTAACGCTCTTATATACTAACTTTAGTTAGACTATCTTCATGATGCATCAGATCCTTATTCCATATGCAACCCATCGAAGGACTATCCCGTTTGTGCCGACTAGTAATATTCTTCAAAATCGGGGGAAGGTGCCTTGCGAATCGGAACCGCTCTTGGTCACTAGGTCCTCAGCCGCCCGAGCATGACCCCACGGTGGTGGTACGACGGTGCCCCCCTCTATTGATAGCTTGATGCATCCACATTTACTTCGATTGTTGAACATTGTTCCGCACGAGACGCAATGGCCAACGTAAGTGAGAGAGACTCATTGGCAGAACGCTTGGAGGGCCTTGCGCCTGCGATAGAAGAGATTCGCAACATCTCGGGTACTGCTGGAGTCTCCATTGGGGTCTTGCATCAGCAAGAAGTCGTTACCACTGCGGGCTTTGGATACAGAGACATACAAGCCAGGGAAGAGCCAAATGAAGATACTCTTTATTACATCGCAGCTCTCACCCAGTCGATAACCGCCTCTGGAATCGCTCTCTTGGTCGAGGATGGGAAGTTACATTGGGACAGCGCGATTTCCAATCTCGTTCCTAATTTTCAGCATCAGTCCCCGTTGATACACCATAACACTACCATTGGGGACATCCTAAGTCACCGCACAGGTCTCGAGCGGAAGGTCAGCCTTTGGATGGGCGAGCACAGTTTGCCGCAGGTTACACGTAACAAGTTCACGAAGACGGCTGCGTATCTTGAGCCCGTCCACCAACTTGGGTCCGAGTTCCTCGAGAATAATTGGACCTACGGGCTGACGGCCCAGATCATCAAGCAGCAAAGCGGACAAGACTTCAGCGAGTTCGTTGAGCAGAATATCTTCAAGCCGTTGAATATGGAGCGAACTGGGCTCGCTGGGAGTCGCCCCTTCCCCCTTGATGTTGACAATTTTGCAGAAGCATATATGTGCAATGGGGACACACCATACCGCTTACACAAGCCGCCTGTTGAGACCAGTCCAGAGCACGAAGCCACTGTTGGAATCAAAAGTTCGGTCAATGATCTGATCAAGTACTACATAGCGCTCCTCAATGCCGCAAAGAAGAAGTTAGCTCAAGCGGGAGACATGAGCAGAGTTCGCCACTCAAGCAGGCACGAGAGCTATTCAGACCTCACACACCAATGGAAAGGCTACTCCCTAGCTTTGGCAAGACAGAGTACACCCTGGGCTGGGCGCAGGTTATACTTCCCAGCGCCCTCGGTGCCTTAAGTGGCAACGCCGAGCTTGTGGCAAAAATGCCTCGTATAGGCGAAGGGCTAACAAATGCTCCGCTCGTCCTCTATCAGTCTGGCAGCTTGGGCGGCTATCAGTCGTCCGCCATCTTGATCCCTGACACGAGTTCGGCCATTGTCGTCCTCTCCAATACCCTTGCGAACCAGCATGCCGCAGACTGGATAGCACAAGCCGTACTTGAAGCGCTTCTCGACGTCCCACACCCCACCAACTTCGTGGCTCTAGCACGAGAGGCTGCAGCAGAGAACGCCATGCTCTTCTCTTACATGCGTCAAGTCATGGTTGCTGAGCGCGTTTTCGGGACCACATGTCGAAGCCTCGATACTTACGTTGGCATCTACGACAACGCAGTCAAGACATTCAGACTCGAAGTATCCTCTGGCGAAGCAGGACTGAGGATCTCCTTCAACAGCAGTCGTGATTGGTATAAGCTGAAGCACTACCATTACGACACTTTCTCTTTCGAGATGAACTACCTGGACTTCTTGAAGAAAGAGATGCGGCCGGTGACGTATTGGAGATATTTCCTGCTGGAGTTTCGTGAGAGCATAGAGGGGGCAGATGGGACCATTGGGATCATTGTATGGAGGCCTGATCGCATGGTTGAGAAAGGCGAGGCATTTGTGAAGCGGACGGCTGCTGAAGGAGTGGCGGAGGCCTCGCGAGCGGTGAGCTGAGCGAGAGAATAGGTTCAAGGACTGGGAAGATATAATTCTAGTGACGCTAAATGCTGGGTGGGTAACTCTTTAGGATATAGCGGATGGGTCATTGGGAGGGGTATCTTTGATCGAGGTGGTGTTGCAAGTTTTGGGCATTCAAAGGGGATCTACTTCGGTTTCTCAGGTCCACTGTTTTTCAAAGTTCCCAAGGCATCGGACTGGACGCTGCGATAGATCACCACTTACAAAGCTACGAAGCTTAGCAATCAGCAAAGTATAGTATTGGGCGACGAGACATCTGCTTGATTGCATATCCAAGCCCCTAAGGAGTTGGAAATCGAGAGGCGAGGGCTCGAAACTCCGTGCCCATCTCCGTGCTCCGGGGTTTGACCATTTGACAACACAATCAATAGCTCAAATCTCAGCTCTGCAGGCGGTAGTAGCTTCTCATCATGGGGCGTAGTACTAGTACAGCGACTCCTTGAGGTCTTCTATCTCCTCAGTATCTTACTGACCCATTCCCCTTCATGCTCTGTGGATCTATACAAGTTCCGATGGTAGTATAGAGTCATTGCTGTCTACAATCTGCAGGCATTGCAGCAGCGCGGTGGTAGTACGAAATGTCAAACGGATGCGGCTTCCTCTTTGGGAAGTGATCTGCATCGAAGAAATACGCGCGATGACCGGAGGACCACTTTCGTCAACACACCGACAAACTCGACTAAGTAGTGACTCAGTCGCACTGCATATAAGCACGTTTGCCGTAAATCACTTCCCACCTCTCGGTGTTATCAATTCATATGAGTAACACCTCGTTCAATTCAAGATATGCGGGTGACTCTTCAAAAACATGGCCATCCAAGCCCGTTCAACCTGACTCACACAAATACGACGATCTTACAATGACAAGAGCATGAGATCGAGTCTTTGCGTAGATGAATAAAGTATATTGATACCTTGAGGCAGAAATTTTTGCTCCCCACTTCCACGCTTTCTCGTCATTGGCTTGTCCCTCATGGAGCGCTCCCCAAGCCCCTCCTCCATTGCTGGCTTGACTGCCTTGGTACTGGTATTCTTCACGTCTGTTCCGGCCTTCTCAAAACTCTTCAAGAGCGCGACATCAGAAGCGAGGGATAACGCACCTAATGAGACCTCCCACTTATACGAAGACGAAGATGGCATTGCCACCGAGGAGACACAGAAAGGATATACTGCAGTCTTGCCTAAGTACCTCGCTTTGTTGTGCTCGGTAATGGGATTCTCAGTCTCCATGGGCATAGCAGTATATACAACAGTCCATCCGAGGTTGACACTATGCTTCGAGAATTGGCTGAGTGTCGGAACTTGGGTACGAATGCCGTCAAAACCCGTTGTTTATACTAATAAATGCTTCAACAGTCATGTCTCATCATCCAGACCGCATATATTGCCTTCGAGCGTGACCCAATAAAGAGGTACAACTATGGTTGCCTGAATGCATTGGCCTATGCTTTACTGACTGCTGCTACCTGCATCCGCCTGGTGATGCTCCTCTCTTATCTGTCTTCGCCCTGGTCCAACGACGCCTTAATTTGGTCAGACGTGCTCCAAATATGTGCTGCGGTATCATGCTGTCTGTCATGTCTGAGCTTGCCTAGACGTCCTGTTGTCGAGGAAGGGGGTATGCTCGTCGACGGCCAGTACACCGTGTCGGCGTTCGGTCGGTATACATTCACCTGGGCAGGGCTTACGCTCATTTTAGCAAGGAAGAAGAAAACTCTTGGCCTAGATGACTTACCGAATTTGCACGTGGAAGGGCGCTCCGCCTACCGTCAAGAATACCTCAGTACATTGAAAACAAAGGATCAGCTGTGGAAGACTTTGGTCTTCGCTCATCTTCCAGAACTTCTCTTCCAGGCTCTCTTTACAACATTGCAGTCCGTTGCACAGTTCGTACCTCAGCTCGTTCTGTATCAATTGTTAAAGCGCCTCGAATCGCAAACTAAAGGCACATTAGCGGGCGGGTCGACTTGGGGATTGGTAATTGCCCTTGGACTGGCCATTATACTCTCAGCCTGGACTCAGGCTTGGCTACATTGGATAGTTTTGGCTAGACTAGGACAGCCACTCCGGACTGAATTATCGGCTATGATCTTTAGCAAAGCCACCCGTCGTAAGGATGTGAAAGGCGTGCTACAACCCAAGCAGGCTACCGATGTTGATGCCGTGAATGGAACCAGTATTCCCACTGCTTTTTCAGGAATCAACGACCAAAAGACCGCGGAAACACATCCGATGTCGGGTTCGACCCCGGGTCAAGCCGAAACTGCGACGGCGGAAGACGCAGCAGAGGAAGATACTCAGAAGAGCCGTCAGAGCACCATCAACCTATTGGTAAGGCTTGCTCCCGTTATCGTACGCATACCAAATGGCTGAATACTCGTGGTGGCAGGGAGTGGACGCAGAGCGTGTCGCGGACTTTGCCACTTACTATTATCTGATTCCCCAAACAGTCGTCATGTTGACAGTCAGTATAGCGTTCTTGATCAAGCTGATCGGCTGGAAAAGCTTGCTCGCTGGACTATCTGTATTTGCGATCGCATTACCACTCAACATCTACACTTCGAAAAGCTACAGCGATGCCCAGGGGGACATCATGAAGGTCCGAGATCAGAAGATGATCGTCATTACCGAAGCACTCCAAGGCATTCGGCAAATCAAATTTTCTGCCCAGGAACAGCAGTGGCAAGAGAAGATCGGCAAGAAGCGTGACGAAGAGCTCGCAACACAGTGGAGGGTGTTTCGCTTGGATACGGGTCTACTTGCTATCTGGATTCTTGGACCGGTAATGTTAAGTGCTGTCTCTCTCTCCGTATATTCAGTACTCAACAGTGGTCTCTCGGCATCGGTGGCATTCACCTCTATCACGGTAATGGGATCGATGGAAGTTTCATTAGCTGTCTTGCCGGAGGTTATCGCGGATTGTCTGGAAGCCTGGGTGTCAGTCAAAAGGATCAATGAATACCTCAAAGCTCCAGAAAGGGACCCCTATATTATTTCAGGCGACGCCATTGATTTCAAGGATGCATCAGTTGCTTGGCCATCGGACTCACAGGAAGAGGATCCTGACCGTTTCATCCTGAAGAACATCAATGTCCGGTTCCCAAACAAGGAGTTGAGCGTCATCTCTGGCAAGACAGGGTCGGGCAAGAGCCTCTTTCTGGCGTCGATCCTTGGGGAAGCAGACTTATTGGCTGGACAAGTCAGAGTTCCTCAAGCACCTTCTTTCGAAGAGCGCTTCGACAACAAGGCTAACAGAAGCGACTGGATTATTGACCCAGCCATCGCATTTGTAGCTCAGATTCCTTGGATTGAAAATGCCACCATCAAGGATAATATTCTCTTTGGTCTACCTTTTGACTCTGGCCGCTACAAGAAAGTGCTCAATTGCTGTGCTCTGGAGAAGGACCTGGACCTGCTCCCCGATGGCGAGCTTACTGACATTGGCGCCAATGGCATAAATCTCTCAGGAGGGCAGCGTTGGCGCATTTCGTTTTCGAGAGCTTTGTACTCACGGGCAGGCATCCTTGTCCTCGATGACATTTTCAGGTAAGGTTTCTGGAACCTTGCTATAATATGATCAACATCCGCTAATGTTATAGCGCTGTGGATGCTCATGTCGGGCGGCAGCTCTTTGAGGATGCCCTGACGGGAGAGCTCGGCACTGGAAGGACACGCATCTTGGTGACCCATCATGTGGGCCTTGTCCTGCCCAAGACGGCGTACACGGTGGTTCTTGGTGAAGGTACAGTACAACATGCCGGCCTTGTAGAAGACCTGAAGGCCACCGGTGTGCTCGAAGAAATTATGAAGCAGCAACAAGAGGGTCATGCAAAAGATCTCAAGAAGAACGCAGAGGCGCTACAGCAAGCAGAACATGCAGCCAACGGTAGCCTCAGTAAAGTGTTATCACACGCCTCAGCCACGACGAACAAGATTGACGATGGTGAGCTGGACATCCAAGGAAAGGCACAGCCGAAGAAGTTCACCGAAGATGAAAAGCGAGAGACAGGGCGAATGAGTCTCAATATCTACAAGCAGTATCTCGTATCCAGTGGCGGTTTCTGGTTTTGGGGTCCCATCATGATCCTTTACGCTGTCTACCAAGGGCTGATCTTAGGAAGGTCCTGGTTCATCGGTATCTGGACAAGATCGTACAAGACCCAATCTCATTCGTTCTTCGTCCAAATGCTCCCATCTAACTACTCTCCTGTGAGGGGTAGTGGTTACAATACCCAGACCTCGAATGATAATTTGTCTTTCTACTTGGGTATCTACATTGGACTTAGCATTGTCATATGCATCTTCGGAACCTTGAGGTACTTCTTCGTTTACCTGGGATCATTGAGAGCATCTAAGAAGCTCTTCGAGGACTTGACATACGCGGTCCTCAGGGCGCCGTTGAGATGGCTGGATACCACACCTGTCGGCAGAACACTAAACAGGTTTACCGCCGACTTTGCTGCAATCGACTCAAGATTGGGTAACGATATAGGTTTCCTTCTCTATCACATTCTCGAGCTGGTAGGTATCATCATCGCGGGCCTCTTCGTGTCACCTATCATGCTTTTGTTCTCACTCATACTACTACTCCTGTGTGGATGGGTCACTAGATGGTATCTTTCCGGTGCTCGTGAAGTCAAGCGGCTCGAAAGCAATGCGAAAAGCCCCATTTTCGAACAGTTCGGTTCAGCTCTCGCAGGGATTGGCACCATTCGGGCCTTCGACAAGACCGATGTATACATTGAGAGAATGTTTGCTAAAATCGATACACATGCAAGGGCATATTGGTTCCTCTGGCTATGCCAAAGATGGCTGGCGCTCCGGTCAAATGCCATTGGTGCTGCGTTTTCCATCCTGGTTGCTGCTGTCATAGCTTTCTACGGCATCGAAGCTTCGCTCGCTGGCTTTGCTTTGAGTTTTGCACTCCAATACAGCAGCGCAATCTTGTGGACAACCCGATGCTACGCAAATTGCGA